ACTTTGTAGGAGGTACCCCCATAATAGAGGGTCCCTATTCATTCTAATTAGCCAGACAGAAAGATGCAAGTTAGCTTCCACTCTAATTTGAATGAGTTATGTACTTAGGAAAAAAAGTTTGCATGTGTGTGTATGTGTGTATCATATTGGAACAAAAATTGCTAGTTAGAAAAGAATAAGAGGTACCATTATGTAAAAATTTAATTTTGGAATCTGACTTCAATCCAGGAGTCAAAAACCAAGCAAGCATTAAATAAAGATTAAAATCCACTAAGAGTGTAATAAGCTTAAAATATACAAGCTCATTTGGGCTATTGTTTATGAACTAGGGAGCAATTATCTTAAAAATTATTTACTAAATAAAATAACTGATAAAGTATACAAAAGCTCTTTTAGTAAAAGCTGTCAAATAAAATTGTTTCCATTTGAAGGTAAGTTGTATTTTCTATGTGTGAAAGAATGACATCCACCAGTTATCCACAATGATAATTAAGCATCAAGCTGTAATTTTATGTGTTTGGGTTAAAATTTTCCTATTTTGGGTTTTATCAGTTTATGGGTTTTGGTTTTATAGGGTTCTTTTTGATTATTTGTTTGTTTTAAGTGGATTGATTATTTTTAATGAAAAGCACCACCAAAACCATTGTATGTGATATGAGCATATAGTATAGAAACTTCTTGTGTAAACTATCAGATAAGCACTCTGTTGAAAATACTCACTACTGCATTATAAAAGCAGTCTTAGGCAGCACACAGTGAATGGAGCAAACACATATGTAAGAAAATGGATATGGCTATGTTTGAGCAAAACTTGACTGACAGAAATGTCAGAGCTGGGTATGGTGGTGCACACTTATAATCCCACATGACTCAGGAGGCTGAGGCAGAAGGTCACAAGTTTGAGGCCAGCCTCAGCAACTTAGCAACACCCTGTCTCAAACACCTGGGGGTGTTGCTCAGTAGTAGAGGGCCTTTAGGTTCAATCCCCAGTACCTCAAAAAGCAGAAACAAACATGTAGAGGCCAAATTTGGCAATGGGCTATAGCTTGCGAATCTTTGAGAATAATGATAAAACATTTGCAGAACTACCTCCCATATTGAGAAATCATAAGTTATCACAATTCTGTGTTAATTTTTTTAAATCTCTTTAGAAGAGAATCCTTTGGAGATCAAAGAAAAACCTATGGATATGGAAGAAGCAGGTCATGAAGCTGAAGAGATGAATGAAGACACTGAGACTGACCAGAATGATGATGAAAATCAACCCAAGCCTGAGGAAGGCCCCAGTGAAGATGACAAGGTGGGAGAGGAGGAGGAGATGGATACAGAAGCTGATGACCAAGACAAAGGTGCTGCCGAACATCCTGAAGAAAACTCAGAGGAGCAGCCGCAGCCATCTCTGGAGGAAGAAGACAGGGAAGCCACTGAGGAAGGTGGAGATAATGGCACCCCTGTTGACCAAGGTCTCCAGCCTCAGGTATTATGGATTGTGTGCATTTTCTTATGTAAGAAGTAATAATAATGAGGAGGAGAAAACACTTTATTTTCCCACAAGCATCTCTTTTAGGATACTTCTTCATTATCAGGTGGTACTGCCAAGGATTTTTAAACTTCAGTTTGAAAACTCTCTGATCATTCCCCTCTTTTTAGTCTTCTCCACAGCAAGCTGTGGGGAGCCTGCTTGCTGCACAGGCTTCTACCTCACGTTCTCCCAGCACATTTAATACTGTGTTTGATTTCTCTGCAGAATTCGGAAGAGGAGGAGAAATCTGACACAGAGGAGCAGTTGCCAGAGGCAATGGAGAGGAAAGAGCATACTTCCTATGGGCAGACTGCTATGGAGAACATACAGAGTGCACAGGCCGTGGAGCTGGCTGGGGTTGCACCTGAAAAGGAGCAGGGGAAAGAGGTGAGAGGCTTTTCTGCTTTATCCAGTTTCCTCCCCTCTCTGAAGTTAGGGATCAGTAGCAATAGTTGGTTTATGTATGGTTTTCCGTTGTTTTATTTTGCTGACATCTAAAAGATCATTTCCTATTCTTGGAGAAAATGACTGTATACCTATTTTTATAAATGTCTGTCAGGAAAAAAATCTCAGAATATTTGCTATAGGCTGTGATTAAATGATATGTCTCATTTTGCTTTTCAGAAAGCTCCCAGGGAAGGAAATGTTGAAATTATTCCTTAATACTGCCTCTAATGGTATTTTTTTCTTGCTGTTCATTCAGCTTCTAAACATTTCAGTTTAAAAAGCAAAGCACGTCTTCATTCCTTGCCTGGTGGTGATATGTTCTAATATGGCCACAGTTCATTCTGCTGGCCCACTATGGAAAGGACATTAAACATCAAAGGACTTGTTTGTTAGCCTCATTGAGCCCCAGTTTTCTCACCAATAACAGCAGCAATTTTTACTTTTTACATCTACCTACCATTATTCATTAATCACCCATTAGATGGTAAGCATTTTCAATATTTCAGCAAGTCCTCTTAATAGCCCTGTGAGATAGATGATGATGTTCCATTTTCTACATTTTATATTTGAGGAAAATAAGCCTCTGAAGTTAATTAATAACCTCAATGGTACATAGCTGGTGGGTGATGAAGCCTGATTTCTAACTGAGGCCTAATCTGTCCTGCCTAGGAGTAAGACATTTTGCTTGTGTTCTTCCTGTACACAAGGAACTAATTAGCCTTGAGAAGCAAAGGAACCTAAGAGGGTAACATAGCTCTGGTCTCAACACTCTTGTTTCTACCCACAGTCTGGGCCTTAGTTATGGGTGAGTTCTGGAGCAGCCAGGTAGGCACAGGTGACAAGCTGACAAAGGAGCATCATGGTAAGAGAATTGTGCTCAGTGCAACATGGTTACCAGTGCTCATAATAATTTCCTCCATCTCATTCTTCTGTGGATTTTCTAGGACCATGGGAATGGAGCCGCAGATGCAAACCAGGCACAAGGTCATGAATCCAACTTCCTTGCCCGGCTGGCCTCCCAGAAACATACCAGGAAAAACACACAGGTCTCTGTCTGCCTTTAACTAAATTTAGGTTAAGGCTGAATACAGAAAAAGATGCTCTAAATGCAATCATTTTTTTAAAAAGCCACCTTCCCCACTCTCTGCTTTCCAACCAGGTAGTCTAGGTGAGCACACCAGGACTGTGGGGTTTTCTCAGTGGGATATCATCACTGAGGTTCCTTTCTTGCACTCCTAATCCATTGATACTAATCCACCTAAGCTCAGTGCTATGTGCTACTTTCCAGAACCAACCAGCCCCACTTCATTTCACTCTCCATAGTTTTTTTGTATTTTTTCTAAAGGGGGTAAAATTTATGTCTGTGAAATTATTATATCAAAACTAGTCTCTTAAAAAAATCTACATGCTATCCTGTCCCCAAGGGACCCTTCCCAGAGCAAATTAATGCAACCAGGTGGCTGTTTTCAAAAGATATCTTCACATGTAACATATATACAGAAGTATGCATATATGTACATGTTTCTTTGCTTCCTTGACTTTTTTTTTCAGATAGAGAGTACATCAGATTGTTCTGTATAAGTATATAGAAATCCTGTTCTTTTTAATACATAAATTGAATCCCATTGCTGTTATGGCTATACCTATTTTACCTATGGATGGACATTATGGTTATTTTGAGTCTTTTTGTCAACAGACAAGGTTCTGATGAATTTTCTCTTCCCACAGAGTTTTAAGAGGAAACCTGGGCAGGCTGACAACGAACGCTCCATGGGTGATCACAATGAGCATGTGCATAAAAGGCTGAGAACTGTGGATAACGACAGCCAGGCTGAACAGGAGGCAGCCCAGCCCCAACCTCAGCCCCATGCAGAAGACGCAGACGCATATGAGCACATTAAACAAGGACATGACACATATGATGCACAGACGTATGGTACGGCAAAGGAAGGAGTTATCCTTTTTCTCTGAGCTCTCTCTGACTGTGTTTCTGTCAAACAAAGAGGGAGAAGAAATAACTTTTTAAACAAGTTCTAATAAATACAGAATAAGATTTTCTCTAATATAGAAATAATTTGGTTTTGGTACCAAGGTGTTATAATGATCAAGGTTTCTAGGTGTAATGTAAGCTTTCTAACTACACTTACAGTCACATCCTTATCTACACTAATTTCAGGGTTTTTTAGTTCTGGAAATTTGGGGGTAGGTTCCTGCAATGGCAGGACCTATGAACTTATAATATGTGTTTTCTCTATGAAGTGAAAAGAACAGCAGGGAGATTTCAGCAGAGAATATCTGTCATTCTGATGTCATGGTGACTTTTCATGGTTGTATCCCTAATAAACTAGTATGGATAATACCTGCCCATGAGGGTAGTGCAAAAATGACTGTGGTAGATAACTTTTTACTCTGTCTACACTTTATTTACTTGAACAGAAAGAAGAATGATTATTGAAAACTATATATTTGGTCCAGTTCCTACCATATGCTGCAATTTAGGCAGGTTCCTCCCATACCTTGGGCAGTGAGACACTGCCTATTCGGGAGACCTATTAAGGTCTCTGCCCCTAATAGGGCAAGACCCCACTGTGGATCTTTGTGAATTTACAATTATAAATGACTTAAGAGATGGCACACAACAGACAGAGAATAGATTCCTGCCCTAGTCTAGTCACAGCCTGGAGAAGGGAACACTTTTGTAAAACTTGGGCCCAAGAGGGCCCAGCTAAGCTGTTCAGAAGTCTGTCCCCACTTTAAAAAAAAAAAAAAGCTTTTGCTTTGTGTCAAGGGTTTTCTGAGCCTCTGCTGTATGATCATGGAATTCCTCAAATAATCTTATGAGCTAGGATGTTGTGTAGAGAGAGACAAGAGCACTGAACTAAAGGATTAAAAGGAAGTGACCAAGATTACAGTGCTGAGATTCCCATGTTGGTCTTTGTGCCCCCTTTTATACTTTTAACCAACTCTTAATAAACTGCAGTTTATAGGCCTATAAGTTTGTAATGGTATATTTCCTTTAGTTGGCCAAACATGCGCTCAAATTTTATTCAGGTTTGTTTACTGGTGATAGTAGTCAAAACCAAGTTAGATACCCTGTTGCTGTGGTCACATGTATAATTGTATGGAAGATAGGCGACAGGCAGCTCTATCAATAGGTCAGTAATAAATTAGGCAAAAACAAGTGTCCAAGCCACATAGTTGGTCAGTGACAGAACCAGCATTAGAATTTTGGAAGCTATAAGTGATAGAATCCATAGCCTATTTGTTTATGCAAAAACCTAAGCTTTCTATGTTTACATGCATGCTATTAACAGATGTGGCTAGCAAGGAGCAGCAGCAGTTTGCAGAAGACTCTGGCAAAGATCAACAAGATGAAGAAATAGAGGATGCCCTCATGGATACAGAGAAACAGGAAGAACTCCAAACAGCAGACATGGAACAGCTGAAGCCAGAGGAAGTCAAGTCAGGAACCACAACAGTTTCTAGTGAGAATTGCTGGTGACCACGCTCTTTCTAAGCTCTCCGACTTGGAGAAATCAGTTCTCTCAGACTGCAGTCTAGGCTCGTCTTTTCTGTATCAAGTTATTCATCCATGGACTAGACTTGCCTATAGTTATTTTACTATATTTTGTTTAGGGCAGAAAGGTAGAAGGGGTGGAGTAGCAGGACACCATCTTTCAAAAGAGACCCCAACCCAGGTGCAGTAGTGCATACCTGTGATCCCAGCACCTTGGAGGGCTGAGGTAGGAGGACTACATATTTAAAGCCAGCCTTGACAACTTAATGAGATTGATTCAGACTTAAAAAAGAAAAAAGGGGTTGTAGCTGAAGGTAAAATGCACCTGAGTTACAATCCCCAGTGCCCACTCTCAGAAAAGAGACCCCAAAGTTTAATAAAATTCTGTTGGTCTTTTTAAAAATATATAAAAGGAAACAGAATGGTGTATTTAACACAGTTGTGAAAATTGAGTATATTATTATAGAAATGTTTTCAATTATGTTGAAGTATGTATTATCATAAAATAGTAAAAGAAACCAAAATGCATGTGAGAAGGTAACAATTTCCATTTCATAGGTAACCAAGCTTTGTTACCAGATAGTTTGTTTTAAAAAGATCGAAAATGCATCAACTTAATTTTATCAACAACGGAATAAATACAAATTCTAAAGAAGGTGCCAAATTCAAAAGCTTTTTATAATGCTTCATTCCTGGCCTTTTGATGGTGTTCGACACTGTACACTACTGCCATTACATCACAGTGGGAAAAACAAGCGTTTGTAATTAGATGCCTGGATTCAATCCATAATTTTACTATGGATTGAGGTATATTTTTAGTTTTGTCTTTGCCTCAATTTCCTCATCTATAAGTTGGGGGGGGAAATGATTTTATTTTAGGTTTTTGTTGATTGGATTGAGCACAGGGCTTCATATGTGCTAGACAAGCAGTCTACCATTGAGCTATACCCCAAACCCTTGCTTCAATTTTTAATAACACACAAGGTTTAAAGAATCTTTTTTTTTTTAATAAGGTTGTTAAGGTAAACTACAGTTTCTACTGTTTACTCTGTAAAGAATAGCTGACTTCAACAGCAGAGTGGGGAGAGGAAAAATTAGTAAGAATTTGGCAGTGGCTATCTCAAAATGCAAGAATATTTGGAAATGTTGAGTGAATAAATGAGGTTTGATTTATTGATAGGTAACAGAGCAGGCTCAGGCTTTATGCTAAAATGATAAATAAAACTATTCCTTACATTAAAATAGGCCCTGATGAAATGGAAGTAGAAGCTCAAATTGTTAAACCAGAGGAACACCAAGACTCCAGAATAGACAGATCCTACAAGGAGAGAGAGAATGAGAAACCAGAGAGAAGCCGAGATTCAACCATTCATACCGCCCATCAGTTTCTTATGGATATAATTTTCCAGGTACTAAAACTCTGACCAGTTGCTGCTTTAGTAATTGTCAAAATAATTTTAAGTTGCATTTAAATCTTTGTCTTTAGAGCTTTGTGGAACATCTGGTTCATGTCCTTAAAAAAAATTTTTAGACTACTATTGGTGTGAGGAGTGTTCCCTAATAAACAAACAATACTGTTTAAACAGTTAATCCCAGGGTCACAGTGCCCTGACTTGTCCATGATGGTGGGTCTGGTTCTTAGCCTTGGCTCCACATTCCCACTTTACTTACCATCTTTGAGTAAGGAATCTTCAGGACAAGTAGCAGTTCATAATGGTTAAGTAACAAGAATGTTTGACTTATCACCTGTATTTAGAAAGAGCCCTTTGAGTTTTTCCCCCCTAACAGTTTGGCTTAATGACAGATTTCTTAAAGACCATTTTTATTATTGATGAGTTAAAGAGTATTTGGTTTCTGTTTGGCTGTGGTGGATTTACAAATGTTGAACATTTCCTTTATCCATGTTCTCTAAAAGAATCTAACATCCTCTCATCGTGCCCTTAAGTTTGCTTAGGTTTTGAGTCTCAGGCATTTGACTGTATGCATTGAGTTCTTAAAACAGGGAGGAAGGCAGCCAGTGATAAGGTGGTGGTTCTTACTATTTCTCTTATTCTTTGTTATTTCTTTTTAGCCCCTTATAAAAGATATTAATCAGCTAAGACAGGAGATGGAAAGACAACTAGAAACATGGGAGCCACAGGAATCTGGAAACTCGGGAGAAGTAAGCCACTGGGGTTTGTTTCATTTTCTTTGTACTTTTTTTGTAGGGGGTACCAGGGATTGAACTCGGGAGCATTCGACCACTGAGCCTCATCCCCATTTTGTATTTTATTTAGAGACAGGGTCTCACTGAGTTGCTTAGTGCCTTACCATTGCTGAGGGTAGCTTTGAACTCATCTTTCTGCCTCAGCCTACATTTTTAAAGTCTAGGTCTATTCACTGCTTTCTGGAACTTTGCTACTACATCTGTAGTATTATTAAAACAGAATCCTTTAACTTCTGTTAATGGCTCTGTAGTAGATGTAACAGTGATTGAAAGCTAGGCAAAAGTCTATGCTGTGCCATCCTGAGAATAGGCTACCAGATCATTGCTAGCTCTGTGTATTAACCAGGAATATCATTTTTAGTAACTTTGTATCCTAAATTTCAGTATGTGTATATATTTTAATATTATCATAATACCACATTTGTGTGCAGGAAATAATGCACTGCTGAGTATGTTACCTGAGGGATTTGCACTTATTTGTCACTTTTACTTTGGAACATGGTTCTGAGAACCCATGAATAAGTGGCTAGATCTGCTAGAACAGAATTACTCATTGACATCTGCCTCCTTATATAAAGGGTTACAATATGAATAAGGCATTGATTTGGTCATGAATTCCTTGTTTCATTCTTTCTCCCCTGGAACTATGAGTCATATTTTTGGTGGCTGGGGAAAGACAACATTTTTTATTAATTTTTTAGTTCTCAGCGGACACAACATCTTTGATGGTATGTGGTGCTGAGGATCAACCCGGGCCACACGCATGCCAGGCGAGCGCGCTACTGCTTGAGCCACATCCCCAGCCCCAAGACAACATTTTTAAACTATAAATAACTGGCTGGGGGAAGCCTTAAAGTACTTCTGTTAGGAATCAACTTGCATGAACCTTCCCATCACTTAGCTTCATCATGCTATGACTTGGTTGGCTCTGATATCAGTCAACGGGTAACTTATATTTGTTGTCATTATCCCAGGAGATGGCTGCAGCTGAGATGTGGCAGAATTATCTGATCTTGACTACACCTCTTTCACAACAGTTATGTGAGCAACTTCGTCTCATATTAGAACCTACTCAGGCAGCCAAATTGAAGTAAGTCTTCACAAATCTTCGTGATGCCTGAAAAGATGAGGGTGTCAGCAGTTCTGGACTCAGCACCAAACCATTTATGGTTTTGGATCATAGGCTGCCACTTTTGCTGTGGCAGAGCACCAGCATGGTGCTCCTTACCCTGTTTGCTTTTGTGATCTCTGCCACAGGATTTCTGTGATGTTTGGTATGAAGGCAATTTTTCTTTTCGGTTACTTTGGATGGAAAACGGGCTGAGCCTTTAGTTTTGTTATTCACCTAGATGTGTCCAAAGAAAAGGAAGAAACCAATACTTTGTATTCCATATAAACTTTTTTTTCCTATCTTAGCTTTTTTAGAAGAATCTAATTATCACATACATGACCAGCATTCCTGGCTGGTAGTCAGTAGTCACTGTTCATTAGTTCTTAATTTACAGTAATGCTCATTGTGCCAGGTAACTATTGGTTTTAAGGGATTAACATGATTTTTGTTCTTAAAAGAAAATTTTGAGTGATAAGCACTTGTTAACTAGTCTTTGCCCTGCTAAATTTCATAGAGGAGACTATCGAACAGGAAAGCGACTGAACATGCGGAAGGTCATTCCATACATTGCCAGTCAATTTCGGAAAGACAAGATTTGGCTCCGAAGGACCAAGCCCAGTAAACGCCAGTATCAGATTTGTTTAGCTATTGATGACTCTTCTAGTATGGTAGACAATCACACCAAACAGGTAAGGAAGAGAAATACATGACAGTTTTACACCAAACCACGTTCAGTGGGTTACCCAAATGGCAAAAAGAATGTGATGGCTATATTGAGAGTTCAGAAGGGAAATTTCAGGATGTCTCAAATATTTTGATTCCTTGTTTCTTAACACTCTTGTCTGGCTACAGAGCAAGTAAACTTGACTTTATTTTCCATAAAATGCAATAATTTACTATTAAGCTACTCTCCCAGACTATGTACAACATAAAAGTATTTGAAGCTATTAAGGCTATATGATATAACAGTACCTATTTCAGAGTTATAATGTATGTAGAATACTTAGTTTACTGCTGATTTTACTACCCATAAAGATTCCATAGCACACACCCCCACCCCTCGCGCAGGAAAAAAAAATCAATTTATGGATCATGTTTCACAAAATTACTTTTATTAGATGATATCTAGAACAGACCATTTCTACCAGTATAATGTACTCTGGGTTTCAGCATTTGTGGAACCAAGGAGGGCCTAATGCCACCAAAGCCTCAGGTTTTGTTATAAACATGGAAATCTTGATTTCGAAGAAAAGGTTAGAGGCACTAGTTTAGAGGATTTCTTATTCTAAGCCCTTTACTTATTTCATAGCTTGCATTTGAATCATTGGCTGTGATTGGAAGTGCTCTAACCCTTCTGGAAGTGGGTCAGATTGCAGTGTGCAGGTAAGGTTGCCTTTTAATCCCATTGGAAAACCCTTTTCATAACCTTGTCATTTTGATCACATGACAAAATAACTCCCATTGTATTTGGGTTTTTCTCCCCCAAGTTTTGGAGAGACAGTAAAGCTATTACACCCATTCCATGAGCAGTTCAGTGATTATTCCGGGTCCCAGATTCTACGGCTATGCAAATTCCAACAAAAGAAAACCAAGATTGCTCAGGTATGTGGCTGAAGTCTTTCACATAGTTATTCTTAAGCTGATATTGGAGGTGTATAATTTTTAGGAGCTCCCTTCCCCCAATTAGCATTCAGGATAGGTAAAATTGACAATACAAAATAATCCTAAATTTCAGTCTGTACCACTAGAATAGAACCTTCCTTGACATAAACCAAGGTATGACTTCTTTTACTCAGTTCCTTAAGATTAGTTTAGCACCATTGGTTTATCAGTTCCCCATTTTTGGGGTAGTTTGGAACATTTTACAAAAGTAAACTTATCATTCCGTACCCTGTCCGGTGGGTCAAGGGCTATTCACTCTCTCATTTAGCCTAAAAAATGAGATAAAGCCAGTGATTTGCTCAGAATGACAAAACACAGGGGTAATATTTCTGTTCAGCATTCATATTATTGACTTCCCAGAACACTAGTGGAGAGACTCACCAGTGATGCACATCTTGCTTATACTTGAATGCCTCTATGAACAGGTAATGCTAGGCCACACAAGGTTCATCTTTCCTTTAGGTGTCTAGAAGGGACAATTTGATTGCCTTTTGGGCCTAGGATCATCATCTGATAATTACTTCAATGTTGTATAACAATGAAAGGGAGGTTAAGTAGTTTTCTTTTGGAGGCACTAAGATTTAAACCCAGATGCTTGGGCATGCAGGGCAATTACTGATTCTTTTATGTCTGGTTTAGTTTCTAGAGTCTGTAGCCAACATGTTTGCAGCTGCTCAGCAACTCTCACAAAACATCAGTCCAGGTGAGCTGCATTCTTTGTTAACAAAAAGCCTTTTCTGTTTTTATCTCACTGTACTTGTCACCATCTTTTAAAGGTGATTTGGGCACACTCCTCTAGTGGCCTACTCAGCATTGTCATCCTTATTAACATGGACTTTAATTTTAATGTGGTGTTCTACAATGGGAGATATTCTCTTAAATACCACTGGGAAATTTAGTCATACTAAAAGCAGCTCAGTATATCTTGTCTTTCCTAAGTAAATGATCTAATCAAAGGCCCCTTTTATTTGTCCTCGGGATTCATCAGATGTTTGGTTTTAATAGTACATGGAATACTTAGGAAATTGTTAAATGATTTTTATTCTTTCTTCTCATGTTCTACAGAAACTGCACAACTTCTCCTAATAGTCTCTGATGGACGAGGTCTTTTTCTTGAGGGCAAAGAAAGGGTCTTGGCAGCAGTTCAGGCTGCCCAGAATGCTAACATCTTTATCATTTTTGTTGTGTTGGACAATCCCAGTTCTCGGGTGAGTAACTACTGAAAGCCTCATTTTTTTTAGAGAGAAGTTTGAAAGGAATTCCTTTATCTGAAATATGGCTTGGGTCACTCCATAATATTGAGAATTCCTTGCATTCACAGCATTCTGTGTACCTTTATGTTTTTAAATTATTCTTCCTGACAGTGAAGGTTATACACAGAATCTAGTGCAGCTTTTGTCTCTAGAGTTAGCCAGGTTTCTGTTACATAGGAACTGAAAGAACCATATGGAGAACACTAGGCACCCTGAAATGCAAGGTTCTCAAGAGAAATGACTGAAAAGATTGCATGTAGAGGGGTAATGTCAGAACTGTAAAAACCTGGTCCTTCATGCTAAGTTGTTAAACATGTCCTTTGGTCTAAAACTGTAGCATTTTGAAGGTATTTTCTCGTAGTTTTAAAACCCGTCTTAAACATGACTCCATCCTCTGGTTCAGAACTGCCCTCGTATACAACAGCTACCTCAGCCTTGATAATGGGCTATGATCAACTTGAAATTGAGGGCAACCTTTGTGTACTCTTCCCCAGGGTAAACACTCACATTAAAGCCTTGGTAGCAAGATTTAGTGGGAATTATTCCAAGTAGAGAATGGAGATATCATTATAAGGAAAGCATACTTTGTTTACCCCTTCCTCCTTTTTTAGTATCAATCTCCATCTCACCCTTGAGGGTAGTTCTAAAAATCGTCAACAGAAGAGCTATCCGAGGATGCTGACTTTTTTGCTTTTCCTTTCAAATGTCTTGACAGGATTCTATCTTGGACATTAAAGTACCAATATTTAAAGGACCCGGAGAGATGCCTGAAATCCGATCATACATGGAAGAGTTCCCTTTCCCATTCTATATCATCCTTCGAGATGTGAATGCTCTTCCTGAGACACTCAGTGATGCCCTCAGACAGTGGTTTGAGTTGGTGACTGCCTCTGATCACCCTTAGAACAGAAAAAGCTGTCCAAAGCAAAACTGTTTGAATCATGGTCAGAATATTGCAAATCTTACCTGATGCTCCCTTTTGGATAACTGTTTCTGAAATTATCCCTCTAAAATACATTGTTTTGATTTTTAAAATCCACCCAACGGCTACAAAACATATGAAATCTCCTTAATAAACCTGGGACAGAGAAGGAACAAACATAAGCGGCAGGGCTCCCGTCTCATAACTGAGGAGGCCATACCCTCCCTGGATCCAGCTACGTGTTTTCCCCTTGCAGAAACATTTCTTGAGATGCTGTCAGGAATGAACTGTGGACCCTTTGGCCCTACTTTAAGTTCTGCCTTGGTGAACCTAAAGGCTGTCATGTGGCTGAGATGCATACAGTTTTATGCAGAGCCTGACCGCACAATAAATATGGTAAGAAAATGCACAAAGAACTCCTCTTAGAAGACAGGAAGCCCACGCAATCGACATATATAAGTAAAAATGAAGTGGCTTTTCAGTGTCCTCACATTTGCTGCTTCGGGAGACTATGCAATAACAAAGATAATTTTCCCTTGATTTCATTCTCTCAGTGCCATAGTTCTATTTGTTATAATAATTTATTTTAGTTTTTATTTTTTTCCCTTAATAGTTTAGGAGAAGAATCATTCCTCCCACTGCTTTCAAGCTAGACTGAGCCAGTCTCATTCTGGAAAAGAAATGCTATGTTCACAGAATTAAGCAGCTACATCTACTTTTTTCCCCCCCAGTTAAAATACACCATTGGTTTTTCTTTGGCCAGAAAGCAGTGATGTTTGAATACTTGAAACTGTGAGCTGTATTCTATTTAATGTTCTTTTGTAGGCAACATGCTATGACATAATCATCTCTTCATGTCTTTTAAGTTACACTGTGAAGTCTGCCACCCTTATAGGTGGTGATCATTAAACACAGATTGCTTGTTGTTTAACCAAATGTCCTAAAGCATGTATCAAGTTATCATTTTTTATTCTCGAAAACTATGCAGTTTATATTCTGAAAGTTATTAAAATAATACAACATTGTTCAGATATGTTGTGATTCCCCACACACATTCCTGTGGATTGAACCCAAGGATGCTCTATCACTGACCTAGCTATAGCCTCGGCCCTTCTTAGTGAAACCCTTGTCTTAAAAATGAAGCAACTTAAGCTGGTTGGCCTGGAACTTGGCATTCTCCTGCCCAAGTCACTGGTACTACAGATGTATACCATCATCCCTGGGCTAATTTGTGATCAGTGGAATATGACAGACAAATTCAAAACACGTGCTAGAGTACTGGTCTTGTCTGCTGAGCACATTAACATGATCCCACAACTTTACTCCTATGTCTATGGGTTAGTTGGCAGACCCACACACTGACTCAAAGATTCTGCTTCATAATGACACACACACCTCTTCCACTCATACTTCACTGGCCAAAGCCCTCTATGGGACAAGAAGTTTAATATTCCCAGTTGGGTCTGATAGGGAAAGACAGCTGCACTGTTATATTTACCTTTAATCAGCAGGTGTAAGATACAGCTCTCCCACTGCTGTGCTCAAAATGATTCTCTTGGCTCTGGGACAGAAGGAATTCTGGTATCAGGTCCCCAAGAATGCTATTTTCAATACGTGGGGAAAAAGCAATATCGCAAACTGATGGGGTATAAGGGTTGTGGACCCAGGATTAGAAGCCTGATAGATTCATGAGCAAAGCATTGAGAATCTGGGCTACTATTAGGACTTACAGGAGTGATGACAAATGAAACTACCACATGACTGCTGACAGGGCTACTATTTGTGCCCTGCTACTCCCTCTTCCTTCTCCTACTTTCCATCCCCAAATGCCCAGTCTCCTTGACCAAAAAAGCAAATTCTGACATTTGAGGAATTAGAACACAAATGCTCTATATGCTCTTAATAATCTAAAGACACTTTGTCACTCATAGCTCAACCATTATCTAAGCAAAAGGCCTGCAAAGGTTTCTATCCAGGGGTCCAACAAGGCTACTCTGGTATACTTAACATTGTGGTTCACTTAATGACAGGGATACAGTCTGAGAAATGCAGCACTAGGCATTTTCATTGTGTAAGTACATTCCATGTTAACGAACCAACTAAGACAGCTATCATGTCACTAGACAATAATAGAATCATCACCATGACTTATTCAGATGTCTGCTGGAACTCTAGTTGGGTGATAAACTCTTCAAATGCAACATGTTCAAAATGTCACTATGATTCCAGCACAAATCTGTTCTAAAACCCCCCTTCTATGTTAACTGCTCCAGCTGCCACTGTTTACAAATGTGGAGTTTGGTCTGTACTTGGGCTTTACTTCCCTTTCTGTCTCCATCCAAATCCAAAATTAATAATCTGTCAAGTATAACTTCTGGATATTTATAACTATCCTGTTTCTCTCCCCCATGCAATTCACTGCAGGTGGAGTTCTTAATCTCTAACCTGGACTACTTCAATGATAACTCAAATTTGTCTTTGTTTCACTTCATTCACTGACAACAACCAAGGATCTTTCTAAAATCTCTACCCAAAAGTCCCTTCAGATCTTCCTATTGTGAAAAGGACACTTGGAGTTTCTTACTACAACCTAAGAGGTTCTTCCCTGACTCTCCTGTTCATTCCCTCCCTGCAGCCTTACCATTGACCTAGTCACAGAAAATGAAAGGTCTTGCAATCTACCAGTGTTCCATTAATTGTCTGGAATCTTATCTACTTTGACATTCTGACAACCACCTACCTCAGATAACTCCTCCAGAAAGAATAACCCTCCATGGTATGAACTTCCAAGTCTTTGAAGACAGTGTGCCTAGCTTATGACAGTATTACCTGTTTCGAAGATGTTTCTGGAAGCAAAGAAGAGTGTAAAAATGTCTGTTCTCACATATTAATTAACTGGCAATTCAAACAAGAACCTAAAGAAGATTTGGAGAGAAATTATAGAAAACATTTGTCAAGGTCATACTGAACACCAATAATAGATTCTTACAAGAATCTATTACAGTGTCCCGTCATAACAAAACATGCCAAAAAAAAAATTTAAAAACATACTAATCCAAGACAACAGCCTAAACAGATCCTCAGACTGTAAGTATGTACTATATGGTCAAAAATGCACCACAAAGCCCCAGGAAGATAATTATTTAATAAATGGTGTTAAGATTCTAGCTTAGTGGGCCTGGGATTGTGGCTCAGTGGTAGGGTACTTGCAAGAATTAAGAAAATAAAATAGTTACAAAGTCTCAAATGAGAAGAGACAAAACAAGCCTCAAAGGAAATAAAATACAAATAGTGTAGATATAAAGCTTAAGGATATAAACCATGAAAAACTAGAATAAGTCCTTATCAGCATAAATGTGCCTAAATCATGCACAAAAATCAGTAAAAAAATAATCTAAAGTGGCTAGGAGTATTTAGTTGCCCTAGTACTTGAAAAGCCAGATCTGTAATAAGTTGTTATACTGTTCATCAGTTAGGACAAAATTTGAAAAATATACCACTGCAATGTGATCATGAGGTTATTAGCATCACTCACAATGCCAACTAAACTAAGACAGCTAAGGATTAGAACTTCTTGTATGTGCCAGGGCCTTTTAGAACATTGCATATGATACAACTCTGAGGTGGATGCTGTATTTCATTTTACGCTTCACAGAAAAGGAAACAGGCCAGGAGAAATAGCCACACACAGCCAGGAAAAGGGAACTCATGGATTCCAACAGGTGACTCACTGGAGTGCTCTGTAAATGGGTTAACTGGTTATTTTTGGTTGTACTTTAATTCACTATTTGGAAAACATGGCAAAAATGCCACAAACTAAGGATGTGTTATGGGGATGAGAACTAGGAGTAAAAGTTTGAAGTGTAGGAGAATATTCAGTTCCTCATTATTGACAGGAGGCAAAGAAAAAAAATGGCTTAAAGTCTCAATGGGACAAACATTTAAAACTCCTGTTACACTGTTACAAATAATCATGATGAAGACCACTACAGGAAAAAACTTAAAAAAAAAAAAAAAGCAATGAAAACGAGAAAAACTGCAGGATGCAAATGCTTAAATAAGTAACATCCTAAAATACTAAACATGTTCTTCCCTTCCAAAGGAAAAAACAAAAACCTTAGCTTCCATTAATGAAGCCCGTTGTTGCTGAACTTATTGCCGTTTTCCTTAAAAATAAAATTTTAATAGAAGAAAAAAGTTTGCTGCTGCTGAGGGTCAAACCCAGGGCCTTGTGCATGCAAGGCAAGCACTGTACCAACTGAGCTATATCCCCAGCCCTCATTGATAAATTCTTAAGTGCATACGGTGCCAAATGCCTTACCATTCTTATTTCGTTATTACAACCACCTTGTAATACAAACACTATTACCCTATTCAAACGATGAGCAAACTCGACTAAGACCGGTTAAATACCTAGCCCAGGCTACAGACATAATAAACTTCAAATTCCTGGGCTTCCCTTCCAAACGCCTGACTTTCGGGGTAGGAACACAAATCCACAAGCGTCTCCCAGGAAACGGAGCTCGCTCCGCCCCCTGACCATTCCCTCACTTCCGTCCTGCGCACTGAGACTCCAAGAGGAACGCGTTCTATTTCTGAGATGGCCGCTTCCCGGTTGCCTCCAGCAACGCTGACGCTAAAGCAGGTACTAATGTTCTCTCTTACCCAGGTCTACACGTAATGGTATGAGCTGCTCGATTTTCTACTTTCCCCACCCGGACTACAGTATCAGGCCAACCGGGCGGGTCCGCGGGGTTCTGACGCTGCACGCGCACGCCAGTGATTGGCTCTAGGGGTTGGAGGCGGGGCTTCCCCAAGGGTTGGGTAGGCGCTTCCTTTTCAGGAACCGCAGAAAAGCTCGCTCGGTTGGTAGTACCGAACCATGGTTAAAGGGGGGGGGGAACATTTCCGAAAGAATTTGGACAACTGCATTAAATTTAGAAAAAGTGCTATTAATGTTACAGTTTGTAGGTACCCGGCAACCCTTTTTATACCCATAAAGGTGGTCAACTCTTGATTTTTAAAGGTTCTTAAGTTTTACAAAAGAGTCGACAAATGACCCACGTGAACCTATTGCCGTTTTCCTTAAAAATAAAATTAAAATAGAGAATAAAAAGTTTTTCTTTGCTATCTTCAAAATTGAGAACCTGGGGTCATGGCTGTGGCTTAGTGGTAGAACGTTTGCCTAGCACATGTGAGGCACTGGGTTCGATCCTCAGCACCACATAAAAATAAAGGTATTGTGCCCATCTGCAACTAAGAAAATTTTTTAAAAAATTGAAAACTAAAAAGACATCGTCTGGTTACAGCTGGTTTGCCAAAGTAAAACTGGCTATCATAATTGTCATTTCTCCCCCCACGTACAGTTCATGAGAAGGCAACAAGTTCTCATGCTCTACAGAAGGATTTTGCGAGCAATTCAGCAAGTATCAAACAATTCTGATCGCAAGTACCTGAAGGACTGGGCAAGGGAAGAATTCAAAAGAAACAAAAGTGCCACTGAAGAGGTGAGAATAAATCATGGTGAGGGCAGTCCCAGACTCTTGTATGGAGTGACCAGTTTTTTAAAAGTTTAGCAGGCATTTTGGAATATGTCACCAAGATGGTAATCTTGATCATTGCTTATAGTGGTACTAATTTTCCAAATTATACTTTAAAATATCTATCTATACAGTTGCAGCACCTGGTTTTTATGCTGTACCACATAGCTTTTAATTTTCCTAATATTCAACAGTTCCCAGTAATGACAGTTTGTTTTTTGGGTTGTTTTGTTTTGTTTTGTTATTTGGAGAATCTTTTTGTATGGTGCCAACTCACAGCCTTGTGCATGCCAAGCTCACACTCCACCACTGAACTACATTCCCAGCCCACCACTATAGGTTCTTGAACTTAACAAAATAGTGAGATTGTACCTTGTTTAACCAGGTTAAGTGATCAGATTTCCCTTTTTTCTACAGGATGCAATCCGGATGATGATTACTCAAGGCACTATGCAGCTGAAGGAGTTAGAAAAAACACTTGCTTTAGCAAAATCTTAACTATAGCATTATTCTGAAGGATCTTCAAATCTCTGTGTAATTTGTTGAGCTTAGGCTTAACAATGGACAGCTCAAAGCCAAGTCAAACTGTATGTACAGTACTTGAGCAAAATATCAAGATAGAAATATTGTGTTATAGAGAGCAGAGAAAATCACATTGAAGTGATTGCCTCAGGACTGAAAAATACACTTGAGTTTTAAAAATGTTTCTGGATGTGTCTGCAGTTATTTAAGAAGCAAACCCCATTCCAACATGCCAGTTAATACATGAAAATAAGCTCAACACACTCATAAGGAAAGTGCAAATCAAAAACCTAATGAGAGAGCACTTCATTTCCAGTACTGTAGCTATAATTAAAAAGGGAAATAATAAATGTCAAATATGTAGAGAACTTGGAACACTCCTACATTGCAGGTGGGAATGTAAACTATCTGCAGCCACTTTAGTAAAACAGACCATCCCCCTCCTCAAACCATAACATGGAGTTACCATATGATTTAGCAGTTCTTCTAGGTCATAATCAAGAGAATGAAACCGTGCACCTATAAGAAATATGTACATGAGTGCACATAGCAGCACTAATGATAGCCAAGAAGTAGGAAAACAAATATTTATCAGTTAATATATAAAACTTAGTATTTTAATACAAGATATTATTTGGCAATAAAAAGAAATGAAGGACTGATTCATAATATACATGGGTGAACTTTGATAACATTGTTAAAGAAGCCAGTCACAAAAAATTGTATCATATGGATTTGTTTATGTGAAATGTCCAGGTTGTTCTGCCTAGGGCCATGGGTAAAATGGAAAAGTAGCTGGTGAATGGGTGTGATATTTCTTTGGGGGGTTATGAAAATGTCCTACAGTTAGATTATGGTGCTAGTTGTACAACTCTGAATAAACTATGAATATGCTCAAATGCATTCTAAACATACAGTATATGAATTAGATCTCAAGTTGTTAAATAGCATTAGATGCAGGACTAGAGGCATACTAACCCCAGGAGATACTCTGGAATTTTCTTGAAAAATCCTTCTGTATAAACCTTCAAGATTGTTGGGGTATGTTCTTCAGATGTGTCATAGTTTGGTAGTCAAAGAACTCTCTAAAAAGACCACTGGGAACCTGGATCTTTGTTGAAAAGAAAAGAAAAAGAATTTATTGAACACACTGAAACACCAAGAGGAGGAAAGATTTTAGGCAACTTCTGAATGAAATGTCCATAATTGCCTTTTAACATCCACACAGAAGGACATAAATCATTAAGGAATATCCTTGGTGCATTAGATTCTTCTCTTGTAACAGGAAAAATTTAAGAAACAAATATTTTATAGGCTGAGGATATAGCTCAGTGATAGAGTGCTTACTTAGCATGGCCAAGGCCCTAAGTTTAATCCCCTTCACTGAAAGAGAACTATATCCCCAAAGTTGACTTCAGGACACTTTTGAAAGAGGTTTAGTTTATAACATACAATTAATTTAGTGAAAGATTCTGGAATTGCCAGTCTACAAACTGAAGTCCTCCATTCAACAGAACAAAACTAAGAAGTGAATCAAAAATGACCAGCACCTGAAAGATGTAGACAGAATTTCACCAGATGATGCCAGTATTGGACTATATGCCAGAAGAGAGATGTGAACTAATGGTACATATCTTGCCAAGGTCCACCCCCACCTCCTGGAGCTTCAGAGTCCACAAAATATTTCTGAATACCCTTCCACAGAGGTAATCTACTGATTCAAAAAGCTTGCCTGAGCCAATAGGTATATCAACCTGTTGCAAAACCATCTGATATACAAAAGCATTTGTGAAGAATTTCTGTACAGAGAACAAATTGGAAATAATTTGTGTGACATGGTTGACATACATAGAAGTCTCTAATCCTGGAAATTTAAAAAAGTCTCAGTGTTAAAGTCTGACTTTTGATGATACTCTTCCTAAAGATGTGCATGCAGAATACTTTTAAAGAACACTTGTGGTTTAAATTTGCAAATTGGAAATTAATATTAGACTCCAAGAAAATCTGTGGTTTTGGGTTTTGGCATTTCTCACCATTGAATCCAGAGACTCTCTGCCAATGAGTTCCATCCCCAGGCTGTTTTGATAGTCTCACCAGGTTGCCCAGGCTGGCCTTCAACTTGTGATTCTTCTGCCTTCTTGTGATTCTTCTTCTTCATCTGTAATCCCAGTGACTTCTACCAAGTCACTGGGATTACAGATGTGTACCATCACTCTGGTTTGATTTTATATTAAAGCAGATAAAACAACTGGAAATTGAATTCTTATTTTCCAGAGGCCAAGATTAACTAACATCCATCCTTTTACTTACCTTTATCTCTAAAGAACAGTTCTTTTCCTTTGTGTACTTAAGTCCTTTATCCCATCTGTATTATTGGCCAACTCTTGCTGTTTAGCCTAAGAGGAGATTCACTTAGCAGTTTCTTCTCAAGTATGAAACCACAAAGATTTTGGTCAGAATAGAATTGCTGGCGACACATCATGAAGTCATCTTTATCAGTATTCTGGATAAACCTTTCTGGGTGTCTTCTATAAACTGTACTTCTATATGAAGATTAAATTTTCCTTCCTAAATTTTAAGAAGTTTGAATTGGGCAGGGTTGTGCACACCTGTAATCCCAGTTATTCAGGAAGTTAAGGCAGGAGGATCATGAGTTCAAAGCCAGCCTCAGCAATGGCAAAGTGCTAAGCAACTCAGTGAGACCCTGTTTCTAGGTAAAATACAAAATAGAGCTGGGGATGTGGCTCAGTGGTTGAGTACTTGAGTTCAATCCCCAGTACCAAAAAGAAAAAAGGCCAGCCAGGGCAAGATAGTGAGATCTTGTCTCAAAGTTTAAAAATTCAAGAAGGCTGAGAGTGTACTTCAGTGGTATAATGCTTGCCTAATACGTATGAGACCCTGGATTCAACCCCCAATGGGGAGATGGGGGAGGTTTAAGCATTTAACCTATAATAAACCAATCCTATTTAAAAAGTTAAAGTACAAAAGTTTTGTAGCATAAGAGAAGTGGTTAAGGCCATTTTGTAAGTTTGCCCTTATAAATTAAATTCATGGCACAAGCATTGCTATGTGTATGCCTGTAGACACACAAGTGACTTTCCAGTAACTGAGGAAAGCAAAACATTCTCTGCTGTGTGAATTATTGCAGTCAAGCCAGCAGACACTCTTGGAAGAGGCAGAGACCCATCCCTCCTGTCTCTATTATAAAATAGCTTAAAAGAAAAGCAAAGCAGCCCAAACCTACCTTTTAAAAAACGAATTGTGTAGAAATTCCCAAAGTGGATCAAAAACACATTGTCATTGGAAAACTAAAATCACCACAGGTTATTTCCTTGCTTGAATCAAGCTTTTAGGAAATTAGGATTAAATTTGCTATTTTGTCTACTGAGTAAATCACTCCCTGTATATTACTGTCTTTTGCCTAATGTATTTAAGTTAATACACATTTGAGTGTTTCCCCTTAAAAATCACAAGTTTTATAATAAAAGTTCCTCTAAAAGGTCATTGTTTTTTAAACTGGTCTTTTAAATTTTATGATTGGATATTACAATCTTAATTTCACATGAAGAAATGTATTTAACTTTTAGGAATAGTTTATCAAAAGGTGTAACATCTTGGTTTGCATGTTATGTAATTCTACAAATATTTTATTCTTCCCCTTTGTTCACTATTTTCCAAATGGTCAACAATAGCTGATCTCGACTTTAAAGCAGATGTAATTGCTCTAATTTATCCTTTTATAGACACAAGGTAAAGTGTGGCTAGGTAAAGGCACTCTTTCAAGAATCATAAAATTAGTCAATCACAACAAATGACAATAAAGGTAGTCACGCTTTTCAGTTTTTAAATAAGGAGTTTAGGATCTATAGAAGTAAAAACTATGTTTAACGCTTGGAGAAGACAAATTCAAGATGATAAAAATATTGAGAAGACAACCTGCCTCTCAAGTATGTCAACATATGACTCAAGAAAGGATTTTGACATGAAATACCACTTCCTTTATTTTGGGCTCTCAAAATCAAAAGTGAGATTAAAACTAATATATTAATATGTTTAATCTATTAGATATTTAGTATACTCAATGCAGTAATGCACTAACAAACTTTAAGAACTACTATTATATAACTTTTCTGTTTTAAATCATTTTTTCCCATAGTGACTGAAAGTTTTAACCTTAGTTTGAAACATAACACTTTAAAGCCTGTCATGTAGGTTAACAGTTCCTTCTTTGGAACAAAATACAGTTGAGGTATTTATTCATTTTAGCAGATAGCACGGAGGGAATGTTTTTTAAGTACACACCAGATCTGCATTCAAGTTTTTGTCAAGGCTAAAGAACAAAAATAGGCCTAACTCAGTGAAAGAAAAGCGCCATTGCACTCATGTTGTCATTCCTGTGGGTTTTAGAGGCTGACTGGTCTGTTCACTTGGGAGAGACAGAGACCCATCCCTCCTATCTCTATTATAAAATATCTTAAAGAAGAAAAGCAGCCCCAAACTACCTTTTAAAAAACAAATTGTGTAGAAAGTCCCAAAGAGGATTAAAAACATTGTCATTGGAAAACTAAAATCACCATAGGTTATTTCCTTGCTTGAATCAGGCTTCCTTGCCTCCCTTGATTTTCTTCCACAACAGTTTCATCTGCCAGCTAGGTCCAGCCAGACTAGATCCACTTGACCTTTCTCATTCCTCCCTAGACTAACTACAAACAAAAATACCCAGTTCACAGTGATAAGTTGCCTGCTTCTGATGGGTAGGAGGAATGTAATGGAAACACTCCCTCCCATCAAGGCATTCTATGGTCTAGACAGACTTGATAGATCAATTAAAATTTGTTTTCATCATTTCTCAACAAGGATACCTTTTAATAGGAAGTGTGTGTGTGTGTGTGTGTGTGTGTGTGTGTGTGTGTGTGTGTTTTGCTGGGGATGGAATCCAGGGCCTTGTGCATATCAGGCAAGCACTCTACCAACTGAGCTATAACTCTAGCCCTGATAGGAAATATTTTTATGAGAGAATGCCTCCTGTTTGGAGCATAATTTCTTGAGCTGTTCAGGACTTCATCTCTGCTTTGAGTGTTAGGCAATTCCCAGTATATGGGTGTATATTGAGGAATGAATAGTGATATCTTGTTGCAAGTAGATTTAGAAAACTGAAGGTACCATTAGCTGTACAAGTCTGACTCTGCATTAGAAACAAATAGGGAATTGAGAGGAGAGCCTTCCTAGGAATAGTTCACAGGAATCTGGGGGCTGCAGGGAAGAACTGCAGACAAGCTCTCACACACAGGAAATCAACTTGGAATAATATCCAGTTCATTCTGTATTCAGGTTACATAACAGTGGCACATATCTACTGAATTACTTCTTTTTTTAAAGGAATGTCTATATCCTTGGAATGTCACTCTAGGGGAAAAAAATAAAAAATAAAAGTCCCCCCCCCCAGAGTGTTACATGCTAAAAAGTCACTATCTTCTTTTTGGCTCAATGAGCAACATTTTATTCACAATTATGGCCAACAGTTACCAGGTTCCTATGGTTATAGAAATGAAGTTTCAATGCACATGAAGAATTTTGAGGAGATGCATATAATTCCTCATTCCCAGGGACAGAGCTTGGAAGAGAGCTGAATCCAAAGTATCAACATAACCAGGCTACTTTTACAACTTTATTTCTGTGTTTATATTTCATTATGTAGCAAAAGTAAAGTCTTCAGGGCTCCATGAAGCTAGGGAGTAGTGGTGTCTAAATCAAGTTACTGAATTATTTGCCTTCACATTATCACTGCAAAACAATAGAAAGTATCTGAGGTTCTTCAATGACAGAACTCAATTCAAAATGAAATACTTTCAAAAAAATTTTCTTATTCCTACAAAATGTACACCAAAAATCTCAAATTCAGAAAGGTATTCTAAGGTAACTGGGTTTTATCATGTATAGGTTGAAGTTTCCAATAATTGTTATAGGAATGTTTTTTCCATTAATCAGCTGACTGATTAATCAACCGTTTTGGCTGAAAATACAAAAAAAATGATCAAATGATATGAACTTTACTCATTCAAGTTCATTATTAAACATTCTCAATGCTATTAGCCAATTACTGAGTATTTAAATAAACTCTTTTCAAGGAATTTTAAGATATATCAGATCTTATGACACCATGAAAATCTCTTCCCACAAAATCCTCAAAATCTGATAAATTTTCACCTATTTAAAACATAACATTTTGGGAATTACAAATTTGAGAAAGGAGGCTTTGCACATCACCGAGTTACAACTCTTACATAAAAGACACCCCTTTCTAGGCACAGCAGGTGGTTGACATTTATATGAATGACTACTTGAGTTCATAAGAGTTTTTTTGGTTTTTGTTTTTTTTCCACTTTTGAACTTTAGGGTTTAGGTTTACACATCATTCCATTTCTTTGTGGGGCTGAATTAATCTGAGCTTTTGAACTTCAAATGAACCTGGACTGAGGTTTAGAGTTTATAATGTAACATGACACTAAGCAAGCCCCCCCCTGGTTTCAGGTTAATTGTTGAAGACTTCATATCTTCAGGGCATAGGAAGCATATGTCTGGCACACTTCAGAAATTGTTGGGTTTTTTGTCTGTTTTAAAGGCAAGTCTGCTATGTGCACAAAAATCAACTCCACAGGCATAGCTATTCTGTTGTTGCAAAACTGGAAATTCTCAAGAATCCTCTCTTGTTCTACCTTCCAGGTCCTAACTTTCTTTCTGCACTTTAGTCCTTAGTTTAGCAAGTTCCTCTTCTAAACTTTTTATGTGTTCCTTCAGTGTGGCCTTGTCTTGCTGGGCTTTCTGATTGGCTTGGCTTCGTGCTTCTTCAATCTTCCTCTCATACCATTTTTCCATCTGGGTAGAAACAGCCTCAAAAAAATACTGGGTAAGCTCCAGGGCTTGGGAGGTGTCTCGAATGTGGGGGGCAGTCAGTTCACTGCCTGCAGCTGGTGGCTGCTGCCCACAGTGGGTGCTAGGTGCTGGTTGCTGGACTCGATGCCTCATCTGCCCACTTTTCCCAGACTTTTTGGTTTGAGTGCCTCTGTTGACGCAAGGCCCAGCCTGCTGATCACATCTGGCTGCCTCATTCAGGGGTAGCAGTGCTGTCTGGACCTTGGCATTCCTCAGCCGGGAGCCTGCACAGTCAGAGGAAGATAGCTCCTGTTGGAGTCTGTGAGCAACAGTGGAATTGAGGGCCTTTTCCTTGGGCCTGACCACCTGAGAGGAGCTGTCAGAAGCTGCTGCTGGGCCTGCAGTCACCACTGATTGATCCACACCTGGTTTTAGAAGGAAAGAAACATCAGAGCAAACCCTCATTCAACAGACTCATGGCAGTGTGATAGCATCTGTTTGAGAGTCCTGGAAATCCCGAAACCCCAAGTCTTCTCAGTCCACACCCATCACATGCAACTTCTCTGTGGTTTTGTTTTCATGTTTTTGTCCCTCCCTTCCACCTGTCTCCCCTGATTATCAGTTTGGCTTATGAGGACTTTTGTGGATTCTTGATAGCCACAATGGTGGCATCCAGTTTTAAAATTTGCTGGCCTTGCCTTTAGCATCTTCTCAATCTACCCAAGAATGCTCTGGGTCTCATTTCCTGATGCCTAATGATGACAGTTCACTAAGCATCTCAGAACAGAAAGGGCATTTTCTATGAGAATATTCCCCTTCTCCAATTTCTGGGCCATAAAATCAAAGTACCAGTTCCTTAGCCCAAGTTCCAATTCCAAAACTGGTCCTCTTCTCAAAAGCTCCATAATAAGCTCCATAATAAGCTCCATGACTCCTCCTGGCATAAAAAATTTGCCCATGATATTTCCTAGTATGTCCGCACAAAGACAAAACCACAGTCCCAGACATGACTATGGTAACACAAAACATTGGGCTTCCCAAAGGCCCCCCCAGTGAGGCCTAATTACCAGACACTGAGTGACCTCAAAATTTTTATTGAGTATTACACTATTTAATGTAAAGGTGTTTTGCTTGGAGCACCTATTATCTATTACCTCAGGCAAGTTCAACACATGAACTACTGTTTAATAAGGCTTTGTATAGTTGGACAGAGGCAAAAAAAAAAAAAGTCAAGGAGAAGAAATGGGGAAAAGGCACAAAGGACAAGGAAGAGAGACCTGCTAAGGAGACAGATGATCATCCATCACCCCTCTATTTGGGGTCCATTCTGACCCCATTCCACATTGTACCTAATACACTGTTATTCCTGATCAATAACTCTTCCATTCCTTCATTCAAATAATGTTTGAGTACTAAAATAAGACCACTTGATTACTTTCTCAAAACTGAGCATGTAGTTGTGAGCAAAACATAGTCCTTGCCCCTAAAGAGCTAATCATGCAACCTGGTGTTTTCCACAGCCCTATCAGAAGGACTACTGACTTTGAGGCAGGAGAAAACAAGATCTGGGGCTTGCATTACCTTTGGACAAAAAGGCTCTCTCTGTATATTGGTTACCTGTAGAGGATTCACAAGTAGATGGTGTGGATTTAGCCCTGGAGGCCCTAGAATCTCCTGAAAGCTTCAGCTCCAGATTCTGAATCTTTAACACGCACCAGGTTTTTAATTCATCCACCAAGGACATCTAAAAATAAATAATAGTATAAAAAAGAACGAGGTGAATTTGATATATGGTTTCTGAAATTTAGCAGTAAGATTAAATTCTTTAGCATTAAGAATGAACTTGTATATTATGATAGTTGAGGTTAACCATTCTGACAAACCTAAAAGTTGTAGATGACTCATCCACCTTCAGGCCATCCTTTGCATCCAAACTGACAGCTATCTATATCTTAAGCAACTTACAGTCACCTTAAACAAAGCCATCCAAATCTTCTGAACCAAGCATTCCAGGCTGCTGAGAAGCATGAGCTCTCGCACATGAGTATTTGTTCCATATCTATAGTCCTAGGTAGACGTTAACTCCCTTAGGGCAGGAACCATGTCTTGTTTGGCAATGTATAAAGGCCCAATGAACCCCAAATACTTAGGACTGATTCCTGGCAGAGATGACCTTCCCCCAGCCTGCTCAGGCAGTCCCTACCAACTGCCAGCATATTCTACAACAGACACAAACTACAAGTTCTTTGCTATTAACTTCATTTTGGGGTAGCAAAAATAACATGCTATGTAATAAAAATGATTTTCAGGAGTCCCAGGCTGAGTTTTAATGATAGGCCAGAATCTTTTAAGTCAGTAAACATGGTGAATCATAAGCAAAGCACTGATAGATACTGGTTTTTACCTGTCGTTTCTCTCCCTCATGCTTCTCCGCATCTGAGTGTTGCTGCAAACGATTCACACACTCTGTTCTCTCTGCCGAGAGTCGCTCAACCATCAGTTTGTCCAGAACTCGCATCTGGGATTCAGGGGGAACAGTACATGCTGAGATGATCAAAGGCTAGGCCCTGGCCTTTCTGCTCGTGAGGACATGCCCAGCAGGGTCCAGAGAACAAGCAGAATTCAACTCCTCCTCCCATTAGATTTTCATACAGTGTTCATGGAACTCTAGCTATTCAGAGTTGCTGAGCAAATTTCTATAAGGCCAATGTTGTTTCTTCTAATCATTTATTAAAGTCCTGAGTTTAAGAGACTATGAATACATAGTAAATACACAACTTAAGCAAATGCAGACCTTACAAGCAAACAGGAATTTTTCTGAGAGTTTGAACATTATTTCCAAGATTGTTATTAGGAAAAACTGTCTCTAGAAGTACAAAGCTGCTTCCTTATCCTACCTTCACAATAAAGAAAATATTAACAGCTGTTTAAGAAGTAGCAAAACAAGCTAAACATTTGGGGTTTTTGCCCAGCTTTTCAAATGAGCAGGAATTTTTTGGTAATTCATAAAAATAGAGCATAGGATATAGAAAGTGTTTAAGGTCGCTGATGAGACCTTAGAGAACCACTTTTAGATTACACCTTCTGGACTCCCTTCCATCCTGACATTTCCCATGGGAGCCCAATAGCAGCAGTGCCAAACCGTCATCACCTTCTGATGGTCCAAAGAAGAGAATGGAACTACTGTTCGCAGGAACCAGCCCATGAGGCCAGTTGGCGAGTTCCTTTCTTATCAGCGACATACATGGCATTCTACATGCAGGTGTTTTTTTTTTTTTTTTAAAGAAATAGCTGTAGAGCTGGGGTGAGCACCTTCCATTTCATCTCTTCAGTCCCATACTGTCTGTGAACAGCTCTCATCCTGTTCCCAGGATAAGCCTACTCCCCCACCTATGTCTCCCCAAGAGCAGCCATGTGTACTCAGAACTTGTCACAGGTCACAGTGACCTGGCATAAGAAAGATCCCGACTCACACGGGGCTCCGTCCTGCCATGTGGAGTGTGTAATGACACTGCACCCCAATCTGTCACCTCCCCTGACCTTTAGAGAGCTCCCTGGAATAGCTAGCATTTGTCTAATACAATCCTCCATGGGTGAGGCTTGCTAAAATAGTCAGCTCATGTATCATGGTCCCAGGAAAAGATGTTTTCAATGGCTTCTCCACAATACAAATATCAATTATATCTCTAAAATATTCAATCTCCAGGCTGAGGTTGTGGCTCAGTGGTAGAGTGCTTACCTAGCATACATGAGGCACTGGGTTTGATCCTCAGTACCACATTAAAAAGTAAGTAAAATAAAGTTATTGTGTCCATCTACAACTAAATATACATATAAAATATTAAATCTTACCAGTAAACAGAAAATGAGACCTAAACAGTAAAATATCCTGAATTTAACAAAGTTTTTTAAATGGTAAAAATAAATGATGGCTAAGCTTTAGACAAAATTCAACACTGCTGGCAGGATACAAACTAGTACAACCTTTCTATTAAGTAATTTGCCAACATTTATCAAGAGCCATAAATATTAACTTTGGACTCGATTATCTTAATTCTGAGCAAAACAATCTGAGAAGCAGTCAAAAAAATTATGCATATAAATGTCCACCATAGCATTACTATATGAAAAGTCTATGGGATGGGGTTGTGGCTCAGGAGTAGTGTGAGCTTGCCTAGCACGTGTGAGGCCCTGGGTTCGATCCTTGGCACCACATGAAAATATTTTTTTAAAGTCTAATAAAAAGAAAGATATGTTCTATTAATATGCTGGGGAATGTCATTGTGAAGCTGGAATATTATGAGAAAATTTTCATGACATAAAATTAGTGAAAAAAGCAATAAGCAAGATACTATCACTCCCTGAACACAGTGGTACATGTTTGTGATCCCAACAACTTAGGAGGCTGAGACAGAAGGATTACCAAGTTCAAAGTCAGCTCCAGCAACTTAGTGAGACCTGTCTCAAAAAAATAAATAAATAAATAAAAGAGCTGGGGATGTAGCTCAGTGGTAGAGTGCCCCTGGGCATTGCAAATAAATAAATAAAAACTATTCCTTTGCATGTAGTAATACACAACCACAAAAAACAAAACAAACAAACAAACAAAAAAAAACCACACCATAGCTCCACATGTCTGGGGCATATTACTAGATTAAAAATAAGGCTGCCAAGAAAAAGCACATGGTTTCGATTTTGCTTAAAAATGATCATTACAGGGGCTGGGGCTCAGTAGTAGAGCACTTGCCTAGCATATGTGAGACACTGGATTCAATTCTTAGCACCACATATAAATGAACAACATAAAGGTCCATCAACATCTAAAAAATATTTTAGAAATTGATCATTGGGGCTGAAATTGTGGCTCAGTGGTGGAGTACTTGCCTGGCATGTATAAAGCCCTGGGTTCAATCCTCAACCCCGCAAATAAAAGATCCATTTATAACTAAAAAATATTTTTTAAAAAGTGATCATTATAGAGTTTATAATCTATATGAATAAAACCTATGGGAGATGAAAGAGATCTAAGGGGAATATCATAAAGATACACATTTCTGTAATGTGAATGGTTTTTCCAGTGCATATCTTATTTTGTATGTTTTTTCTTTTTTTTTTTTTAACTGAAAACTCTTATCACACATTTCTTTAATTGCAAAGGGTGCACATACCTTTACAGTAGAAAAATATGGGAGTTAACTGTTTAGCCAAGTGATCAAACTTAATATCATTGATAATCAAATATCCTGACATTGTATGCCTGTAAATATGAGGTAATTTGAAGTTTATACGATTAACTATATTCCTATAAGAATACAGGAACCAAAGTAGCCATCTAGACCAGCAGTTCTCAAACTTTAGCACATGAGGGCATCACCTGTAGGTCCTGTTGACACCCAGGTTGATGGGCCCCACCCCAATTTTATTCATAATTCAATCCAGTACAGTAGATCTGGAATGAGACCCAAGAGTGTGCTCACCATGCACCTCAAAGTCCTTAGAGGATGCAGGTGTTGGACCACATTCTATAATAACTTTCAGTTTACAGAAATACAGGGATAAAGGAACAATTTAAATACTACCACAAAGAAACTACTAGACAAATTCAGAATGTAGATCATCCTATAAAACAACTGTCCTGGATACTTAAAAGAGTTAATATCATGGGGGAGGAAAAGCTCAGAGAATTGGGGCTATTCTAGATTAAGCAACCACAGAGACTAAACAGTCAAATGCACACAAATGAGTCTTTACTGGATTCCAGGGTAGAATCAAAAACAAAAACAGTCAAAATATGTCTCGGGACACCTAAGGCCTATAATCCCAGCTCCTCATGAGGCTGACGCAGGAAGATTCCAAGTTCAAGGCCAGCCAATTTAGCAAGACTATCTCAAAAATAAATAAATAAATAAATAAAAAGGGCTGGGGATTTTTGTAGCTCATTGATAGAGTGCCCCTCTCTGACATCCCATCTGATACTCTCAGGGCAGAAGAATGCTAAAACCCCCTTTTCTCTTTTTTTAAAATGAGGTGGAGAGAGTGCAAGGGATTGAATCTAGGGCCTCATGCTTGCTAGGCAAGGGCTCTGCCATTCAGCTCTATCCCCAGTTGTAAAGTCTCTGGTTTTATTTTCTGCCAGGACATCTAGAAATCAGGAGGCTAGCCTTCCTGCTTACTTGGTGCTGGGTCTTACTCTCCATATGCCCCAGCTTGGTGTTCATTTTATCCTGCACCGATCCCAGCTCTGCCTTAATCTCCTCTACTGTTGCCTCCAGCTGATTCTCCAGCTTGTTGATCAGAGGTTCACATCGACAACCGTTTATTGGTGCCTAAGAGGGAAGAGGAAAATGAATCAGTCTGAGTCCTTTGACCCAGAAGGACCGGGCAGTAGACCACAGGGATACAGATGACAGAAGATGAACTCATCCCTGTCCTACGAGCTCAGCTTTGGGTCCAGCAGACACTAAGAAGATGGAAGGTAAGACATGGTCCCTGTCTTCAAGCTCCTTTTTGTCACTCTGGGACCTCAGGATACCTAGTCACCTCAGGATGGAGCAGAAGGCCCTGTAAAGGCACCCTGCTTGACAGAAGCTAAGAGGCAGGAGCACAGGGCACTGTTTAGTGACGCTGCCATCTGGCTTGCCTCCTAAGCCTGTCCTTACAAAGCCAATGTCTCAAGGGGCCATCAGACCCCAAGAATACAGTTAAGTAGAAAATCTGGCTGGAGGCCACTGGTCCCAGTTCCAGCAGGCTGTGCAAGTACCTGCATCACTTTGCCATCCTTGCCCCGGTACAACGTGTAGAGCTGGTATGCCCTGAACTCATGGGGTGGCGGTGGGGACGAGCACCGGTGCCGGCCCCTCTTCTTGGGGTGGTGATGTGTGTGTGAGCTCTTCTGGTGTCCAGGCTGTTGGTCTGCTGGTGGGGTGGGGTCAGACAATGCTGACACCTGTGGGGAAGGAAGAGACAACACCCCTGAGCCCTGGGACATCTGCAAGAGTAACACCCAGACAATGGCTCCCATCTCCCCAGCTTTTCAGCAAAGATGTTTAACACAACCAAAATTTAAAAAAAAAAAAAAAATACCAGCACTTTCACCCCGAGTCTGAAATGAGCCAGACTTGATGTCTATGTTCTGGCTCAAACCAGCAGGCCAGGTAAGGTTCCTTCCTAGCTGTTGGCTTGATGAACCCCAGGAATGCCCCCAACCTCCTCCCTCTTGGCTGTTTTCAGAGCCTGCTGACCTTAGGCCTTGCCTTTCTCCTCCTGTCATCCTTGGCTCTGGGTTCCGGGGAGGCTGACAGAAATTCATCTCTGGCTTCCTCTTTTCTGAGTACAGCCTGTTCACTGCTGGGGCTGTCCCCTGCTGAGACACTTCCCTACAGAGAAAAAAAATCCCAGAATCCGGCTCTGCCTGCTCCTTCAGTTTTTACCAACAGGGTAAAACTGCTTGCAAGACTCCATCCAGTAGGAGACCCAGGGGCACCTGATGCTTACATGAACAGGGAACACTGCTCAGCAGTGTTCAACCTGATTGGTTAAATATTTTGTGTTTATTTTATTAAGTCCAAATGAAATACATTTGTGTGTCTAAATACTATGTTCTAGAATCCCAGGAATCTACCAAACATGAAAGAATGTTAGAGATTTGGAGTCTTTTTTCACTTTACCAAAATATAACTATAATCATTCTCTGAATTTGGACCCCCACAATTTATGTCAGAGAACCCTCAGAAATGAATATATACATATATGTGTATGCATACACACACATACATATATGTGTATATGTGTGTGTGTATGAAATCTCATGTCTGGTCTTTGTTAGAACTTTTACAACTTAATATGTACAATACACATAGGAACTTAAAATTATGGTGCCTTAACCCTGGAAAATGTCAAAAGGATTTTGAAATAGAAGGGCAAGTACTGGATAACATTTTATGTGCCTAAATTCATTTCTATATTTAGTTTTCTTACTCCTGAAAAACTTAAAAGGAGTACCATGTACAACCAGGCAAGCTGTTCACTGCACAAGGGCACCTAGCTAGCGAAGTGAGGCAGCGAAATCCAACTCAGGCTCAATTTATCATATGCCCAGGGGACATCTTTTTCTGATTTTCCCAGAGAATCAATATGGGTCATCAAAGCCTTGGTTCATTCTCTAAGTGGAAACTGAGGAACCAACCCATGCCAGTGGTTCTCATGAGAATCACCCAAGGACTGGGTCAACCATGAACTGCTGGTCCTCACCCCAGAGTTTCTGATCCACTGGGTGAGAGATGAGGGCCTGAGAAGGCATATTTCTAACAAAGTTCCAGGTGATGCATGGACACCACACTTGGAGAACCACAGCTCCACATGGCAAGGGTTAATGTCAGAGGCTTTGTTGTGCACACATCAGGGACAAAGGTGACAGACACATGGGCTAGTGAACATGCCCATGCAGGGCACTGGATGGGCGACAGGCTTCATACAGTCACAGGATCAATGTCTTGGAGGAGTGGAGGACGTGGAGCCCAAAGGAGAAGGATGAGCAATAGAGTTTGAGGAGCCCAGGGGGAAGGAGAGGCCGAGGCATGAGAGCCGCGAGGTGAACCTGGCAGAAGGGGCCACTCAGGGGGACCCCCAACCTTGCTTTGGGCCACCTCATCTCTTGGCACGGACTGGGCCCTCCTTTCTTCCTTGAGCCTCTCTCTCCTTTTCCTCAGGCTTCGCCCACGACTGAAGCGCAAGACCTGAAGGAAGCAGATGGAATCGTTACAGAGCACTAGCGTGCACACGACAGGTGTGAGAATTCTCCCTGACCTGGTTCTCTGACCTGAGGAACTTACAGCCTAGGGAGAGACACCAAGCATTCACATGAAACACGAAACAAGCACCTCTGGAGCCACTATCTCCTAGGTCCTGTGCTGGGCATCACAGGAATCCAGAGAAGGGTAGGATATTTCCTCTGACCTCAAAAAGCTCAGATTCTATGATAACCTCAACAGATATGGCCAAGTTGGTGTGTATAAATTGTGCACTGCCTAACTCCAGGGAATGTCACATTGTGGCAGAGATACCAGATTAGATTATAAGATGAAGTTATAAGAACATTATGATAAACATTATGATAAAGAATCAGTGCCCAAAGGATTAATTTCTCTCCCTCTCCTCTGCCAGCCTCTCTTCAGGGAACCTAATTAACTAAGGGTCCCTATCTGTTGGGTTGTATATAGTTATCTCTAGGAAGCCTGAAAACTAACTCTTGATACATAAACATCTGACAGGCTTCAAGACCAGGGAGGTAACAGATGCCTGTGAAGTTTCTTTTTACTTTGTAAACCTTTTAGGAATGTAGATATATCACTTAATTGCTAGTATAAATTTTAGGTCTCTATGCCAATTAACTGCTGTCTAAACTACACCTCATAGGCTTAGTTCTTAGAGATAACTCTTAAGGAGATAAAACTCAAGTCATCTTGAGTTACTGCTGCCTGTGGGAAAGGACACTGTATGATAACACTCGCAAGTGTTTTACTGTCTTTGTTCTGCACCTGTGAACTAATCATAAAATTTCTATACAGGGTCCTTGGTCATGAAGGTCAAGAAATGTAACCCACCATTGTAGTAATGGTTAATAAATGATGTCAAATATCCTACAAAGAGCCCCCTGTAACCCCAGCTCAGGAACCAGAACTTCAGAACACTAGCTCATTTGGGTCTGCAGGGATAAATAAACCGGAGTTCTCCAACCCTCAGAGTAATGCTTTATCTCTTGCTGAGCGTGATTTCCATAACAAACGAGGACAAGAATGGTGTCACCTGGAGTTGTGTGATATGGCATCCCTGTGCCAGGCATAGTGTCATTCTTTTTTCTCTTTTTGGGTACCAGAGATTAAACTGAGGGGAACTCAACCACTCAGCCATATCCACAGCCCAATTTTCTATTTTACGAGAGACAGGATCTCATTGAGTTGCTTAGTGCCTTGCTGTTGCTGAGGCTGGCTCTGAACTCATGATTTTCCTGTCTCAGCCTCCCAAGCTGCTGGGATTACAGGCATGTGTCACCGTACCTGGCCATAGTGTCATTCTCTACCTTAGCACACCAGACCTAAACTAGCTCAGATTTTTCCCTTGGCCAAACTGTGTGCAAGTCATATTCAGTTTGAGTCAAATATTGAGCTGCAACTGTGAGCCATCACACCAGCTGTGGCCCCCCAAAGACGACATCTGGTCTTCCCTTCACCATGCAGAGCAGCTGAAGGAAGGAAGACAAGTATGTGTGGGGATGGACAAGTCCAGGTTCCACCAGAAGCCAGCTGAAGGATCTTCAGGCCAGTAATTTTGGTGCTCTATCCTCTCAAACAGAGTGGTTGGCATTACCAAGAACAAGTAGGTGGTTGGCATACAGGGGAGCCCCAGTCACTGCCAGGTACCTCCTACCTGACTTAGGATTGCTTCATGGGAAGAGGATGTATCTCCAGAGTGCAGATCTGTGAGTGGGTAGAAATCTTCAATCCTGGGCCCAGAGTGTTTAAGAATGCAAAAGGGTCCTTAGACCAAAAACTGAGAAGCACTGCCCTAAGCCATTTCTAATATTAAATTCAGACTCAGTAGAAAGTCAAGGCTGATGAAAGAGTCTCATTCTGATTGCTCACCTGGTTTGTCACCTCTTAGGACATAGAACCGAAATCGGCCTGAAATTCGCTTCCCAGGCATTTGTGAACCCCATCAATCAAATATGACAAGTGACACTTAGAGGTCATCCAAACTCAAAAACAATCAACAAAATTCCCTCCATTTACCATGTCATTAACCAGTGAAAATAACTTTGCAAGACTTACAGTCTTTCTCAGTGAACCATACCATCTACCAAATGGTACATCATTAATCTTTCCCAGTCCATGGAAATCAGGAAATAGCAATCTTGAGGCCTCGGAAAGCAGCCTACTTTTAGTGCCGCTGTGGCCCTTAAAATCCATGTTCCAATAAGGGACTAAGGCAGGGACACTTCTCTTTGCAGACGAGACAAATAGTAAGGCTGTTTCTGTCACTACAGCTCAACAGAATGGCATGCATAAAATTCCATGCATATCTTAAAGTTCTTTATGTTGAGAATAGGTTAAGCATGTACAATTATGTGTGAAATAAACTTTCATAACATGTCATCCAATTTACTTGCTCTTCAGTGTGGATGTGAAAAACTGAAGTCATTTTTAAACAAAAACACAAAAGCAGAGCTTCACAGGGAATGGTGAAGCTTTTCTCCTTATAAGTGAAGACTCTTGGGTTCTGGAAGACACATGACAGGTGCTTAAAGACACATTAGTCTTTTGGAGTGGGGAATTCTCCACCCCTCCAGGCTTCATGGTCTTTGTATAGCTGAGGATGGGTCTCGCTGCCCATCAAATCAAATGCTGAAATGCCCAACACATACAATGAATTCTGACATTTATATAGTACTCTGTGGTTTGTTTTTGCTACTGGGATTGAACCCAGGGGTGCTTAACCACTGAGCCACATTCCCAGACCTTTTTTGTATTTTATTTAGAGACAGGGTCTCACTGAATTGCTTAGGGCCTCACTAAATTGCTGAGGCTGGCTTTGAACTTGCGATCCTCCTGTCTCAGCCTCCCAAGCCACTGGGATTACAGGTGTGCACCACTGCAGCAGGTAATCTGTGCTTTTTAGTCCATGGGAGACCAGCATTTTTTCTACTAGGATTCATGGATGTAATTCCATTAATGAATCTGCAAAAAGCTGGAGATGAGGGCTGGGGATGTGGCTCAAGCGGTAGCGCGCTCGCCTGGCATGAGTGCGGCCTGGGTTCGATCCTCAGCACCACATACCAACAAAAGATGTTGTGTCCGCCAAGAACTAAAAAATAAATATTAAAAAAAAAAATTAAAAAAAAAAGCTGGAGATGAGACATTCCATTTCTAGCAGCTTCTCATACCCGACTCCTATTATTAAGAGTCGATGGACCTTCACAGACCACTGAGAAGGACCAGTGCCACACTCAAGAGAGTGATCAATTTTGCAAAAGACAGAAGTCTCCAGAAACTGCTAGCCATATTTGACATGCTTTTAAAACTTACAAAGACCACACAAAACCCTGGGCTAGGCTGGTATATAGCAGGATGGCGTTTAGAATCTTGACTTCTTGAGATTTTGCCTTCTTGCAACATTAGCCAGAAAAAAGATGGAAAACCCATCAGTGTTTACCATAAGGGAGTAGCTCCAATATGGAAAAAGCCTGAATGTCCAAACATTCAGGAAATGGCTTAACAAAATATTCAAAGCAATAAAAAAAGAATATTATGTTTCCATTATAATTATGAAGACTGCAGAGTATTATCCTTTTATGGTGAAAGGCAAAATATAAAAGGGTACATCCACAGTGAGAGTCTGATTATAGAAAAACTGTGCCTCTGGAGGGTAATATAAAGAAACAGTTATTTGAGGGTACAAGAATTATGACCAGCTTGTAAATTTTTTAAATTTCTTTATTAGATAATGTCAACGTCAACTCAAATGATAACATATCAGCCATCATTTTCTGAATAAGGGTCAAAATACCATTATTCAATAAAAAAGGAAAGAATACTATACTTAACTGCCTCTAGAGGCTGATTACTGCTGTGCCTAGAATGGTCCCCCCTCCCTCCCACCCTCCTCTGGGAAATGCCCCGTCTCTTTTCAAAGGCCCATCCCACTTGTTCAGGAGTGGCATCTGCCCCAGCAGTCTTCTCCTGCAAGGTTTTAAACCCGGGTGGCTGGGAAGTTATGGTCCAGGAAGCTGGTGGTGATGATGACCATGCTATCAGGGAACAATGGCACCAAGTATAAAGGGCTGGACTTGAAGGCTTTGGTTCATCATCCCAGAGGCTCACAAGGATCCCTACTGCCTGGCTAGTAAGCCGTATTGCTTAGTGGACAGCAACTAGAGAAGTCCCAATGACTCGGCAGCCCCATGTCATCAGTACAAGGCAAAGTGCTGTAATCCTACCTGGGGAGCTTTAGTGAGGAGGAGAGCAACTTCTGGGTTGTTGTGGTAGCGGGCGGTCTCCAGCGGAGTCTGGCCTGCCTAAGGAAAGGCACAGGGAAGGCCGGTGAGAAAGGGACACCAATGCTGCCACACATGGCTCTCCCCAGGAGTGGCAGCCCCACACTGGGACACTCAGCCCCTGCAAGTGCTCAGCAAAATGCAGCCATGCACAAGCCCGTCCTGCCCTTCAGCCTCATGCCAATCACCCAGGGCGCCAAGCAACACCGGGTTCTCTGTGACAGAGGGCAAGTGTTGACCCAGGGAGCAGGAAGTGCTTTAGGAGGCAAATGTCAAGGGCATGGCCCACCAGAGAATGCTTCCTGGAAAAAGAGGAGGGAAGGTCAAAATCAGAAGGATAGAGGAGGAACATTTCTAGTCAGGAAACAACACAAAGGATCATAAAATCCACTGGCAATAGATTTTCCCTGGAGAACAGTGAAGGGCCACATCAGGTCGGCCATAGTGTCTCAGAAGATTAAGCCAAAACCAGGAATGGATAATGGTGCTTTTGAAAACAAAGAGGAAGGAAGGCAGCCAGGAAGAGAGGGCTGTGCCATCCAGAGCATGCCGACTCCACCTGACAGTCCCAGCCCTTGGCCCGCCTGCTATACTTCCTGGCCTAGGAGGGCTTCCAGGTCAAACCAAGATTCACCTCCCGAGCACATGAGGCCCTTGTCAAGGCATCATGTGGTTCTGTTTGTGGAGATCTCAGAACTAATGGCCTAGGCACCCAGATCACATTTATGTCTGACTAGGATTTCCTGGAGTCACGGAACAGGATTAAATGCAGAGGCTAAGTAGTGGTGGGCTGGTTGCCAGAGCAGGTGCTAGGGCCATCTAGAGAAGGCAGGAAGAGGAAGGGAAAGCTAGACCCAGAGCTAGCAAAGATCAGGAGCCTATCGCCAGGTCAACAGCCCAGAACCCCACACGGCTATCCCACCCCAGGCCCCTCTGAGCTTCTCAGAAGGGCAGAGACTGGAGGCTAGCCTCGAGGAAGAACAATGGCTTGACTGGTGCCTGTTATAGAACCTGGGGAGATGGAGCAAGAAGGAAGGAACAAGAAGCAGTGGTTTGGGAGTTCAAGGCTGGTTAGTCTAATGACTGTGAGGCCATCTTCCTGAGGCCACAGGTGCTCTCGGGTCTGGCACTCACTTTTGGTAACATCTACTTGCCCATTTGGATACCTCTGAGCTTCTTTTCCTGCCAGGTTGTGCTCACTGCTGCTAGGGCCCTCAGGGACTGTCCACTCCTGGTGCTGTGTAGTGCTGGGGTCCCCTCCAGCTCTTCTCAAGGACCCCAGGGGCTATAGCTTCAGTGGAGCTGGCTGGATCCTCAGGGTCTGCTGTGGGTTAGTGGAAACACCCGCCCCCTATCCTGGATGGAGATGAGAAAGCCTTCAGGAGACCACTGTTGCAACTCGACTTACATTATTGACGATGCTTCCATCTGCTCCAGCTTCTAGTAAGAGTTTAACCACTTTCTTGTGATTTAGGGCAGCAGCAACATGAAGGGCTGTGTCTCCAGCCTGAAAAATCAGACAGCATGCTGACTCCACCTGACAGTCCCAGCCCTTGGCCCTTCCTGGCCTAGGATGGCTTCCAGGTCAAACCAAGTTTCACCTCCCGAGCACATGAGGCCCTTGTCAAGGCATCATGTGGTTCTGTTCAAAGAGATCTCAGAACTAACGGCCTAGGCACCCAGATCACATTTATGTCTGACTAGGGCTTCCTGGAGTCATGGAACAGGATTAAATGCAGAGGCTAAGAAGTGGTAGGCTGGTTGCCAAGAATGATGGGACCCAAGGCTTCACCAAGGCAGGATGATGGGCAGGAAGCCCACGGCCAGCAGGCTTCTCATCCCAGAGCTCTGGGTCCTGCGCCTCTGCCCAGGGATTAGAGGTCAGAGGAACAGTTGGTTTCTGAGTGCTGGACTGAGCAGAAGCTGAGGGGGGAAAAAAACGACCACTTCTGCAAGCACTGGACGGGTAACAGCCCAGCCCTCAGCCAACCTCATGAACTCAAAGGGGCTTCTGGGACTCCAAACAAAATCCATCTTCAGACTCAGAGTGTTCTTAGAGTGGAGACACTGAGAAAAGTTCAATTAAGACTAGTTGTTTTCCACCTCTGACCATATAGCTTACAAGTGTTCATATTTTATACAAAGTGTTTTATAATAAAACACAAAAGGTTGCCTAATTTAAAAATTAAACTTTATGTGTGTATAGATAAAAAAAAACACACAAAAGGCATTTTAGACAATTAACTTTGAAAGGAAGAAAGACAACTGCAACTTAGGTTAATTCCAAATGCTGTCATTTTCCAAACAGAATGACGGAAATATACCAGACAAATATAGGAGAAGTGAAATAATTCATTCTCTTCCCCTGCCAGGTGATTAGGCAAAGAGCCTTGATGCTTTTTTTCATGGACAGCATGAAAATGTAGCCATCTGTGAGTAGCAGCAACAATGTTTATTTTATTTCACAGCCACTCAGTTGTGAGTGTTGGGGAAGCTTGTGGAAGTGGTTTCCAATCTTGGCTGCATACTGGAATCCTCAGCAGAGCTTTAAAACACACCGATGCCAGGGTTCCACTCTCAGACCCGGTTTCCTTAGTCTATGGTGGGCATGGGCATGGGAATTGTTAAAAGCACCCAGGTAACTGTAAAATGCTGCCAAGCTTGAGAAGCGCTGGCTGGTGGGGGCTGCGGATGGGTAATCTGATCCATGAGAACCCACTGGGGAGGTTACAGAATGACAGACTTAGCTATTTTATTAGGTCAGTGGTTCTCAACCTGGCTGCACATTCAGACAAGGAACTTCTTTAAAAAGTACTATTGCTTGGACCTCAAGCCCAAGATTTTGGCTCTTCTAAACTGGAGTGGATCCAGGAATGGCATTTTTAACTCCCCTGTTGATTCTCATATGCAGCCAGAGTCAAAACTACTGTTATAGGATATATTTAATCTGAACCACAATCTAATGTTTTTTAAATTTTAGATTTATGCATCCAAACTTGGAAAAGTCAAACTATGCACCATTTAGATAAATAAATATCCAGACTATTTTATCCAAATGACTAATGATAAACATGCACATTTCCATGGAAGACTATCATAATTACAGCTTCATTTCAAATTCTTACTGTATGCAACAATACAGTTTTAGGTACCCAACTTTACAGAAACAAGAGACTCCAGCTGCTCAAATAAAAGTGGCAGTATAAGGAGAAAAACTTGGAGTCAAAAGTCTCTGGATTCCCTCCCTCCCTTCTTTACCAAGCCACACTCCTGTGGGTTTCCTTTTCAAAACTCACTATAAACAAAGCCTGCCCCAGGATCTCAAAAAAAAAAATTCAAAAATGCAAATGTGGTGATATGCACAGGAATGATAAAGGGTGTGCGTCCCCCAAAAGGCCAGATTGGCAAGACCAGTGGGACTCCATAGGATAACCATACAGAGACCAGTGCTGGTGGAGTCCCAAGCAGGTCAGAGGGCAGCACCTCCCAGCAGCCTCTGCTCCTGGCTGTGCTAACACACGTGTCAGGTAGCCTAGTACGAAGGATGCCACGGCCATGAAGAGGATACATGCACTGACCTGGTTCTTTTCATGGACAGAACAGAAAGCACTGAGGAGGAGCCTAATGATGGACAAGTGATTATAGCGCGCAGCAACGTGCAAACAGGTGTCGCCTGCCTGCGGACAGAAATCAAACTCTAAGCACAGTCAGCAATTACAAAGCAAAAGAGAAACATAAAAAGAAAATATCATTTAAAAGCTGGAAGATCATCATATATTCATTAGGGGATGGTACCCTGAATAGTAAGCAACTCTTAACAAACGCCCCACTCCAACCTTTGCAGTCCCGTCTGCTGTGGCTGCCATCTGCAACCCTGATTTTCACTGTGCCGAACCACCATATGGTCTGCTTTCATGTGTGTGAGATGGGATGCCTGCTCCCCGTGAGACCTTTGGCAGAGCTAAGGCAGATGATAAGGATCCATGGACTCCAGCCTACCCTATAACCCAAGGGGTCTGAAGTAAACCAAATTAAGACCACCTACAGCCTTGCTTTGGAAATGAGCCTTTCCTAGCATAGACCCCTCATGGCTGGTAGGACCCTAATAATCCAAGTGGAGCCATGTGGCCTGGCTGCTGCTGTCAGCACCCCTTGCTGATGAGCCAGCAGTTACTGGGAGTTAAAAAGAGCATCCAGAAAGCTCTGCCTTGGTAGGCAAGAATGTAAGTCTGCTCCCAGAGAAATGGCAACCACCACAGAGACAGGAAGTTGTCATGCTCTGCAGCATCTCCTGACGTTCCATGCTAGCTGTCTAGAGAACAGTGTCCATTCATTTTAACTTTTCCCCCTGGATTAAGGAGGAGCCAGGTTCAATGCTGAGGTTCTAAAACTTCAAATGATTCTGTTTCAGATGAGTCTGCTTCACACAGGGAGATCTCAGCCATTTGTGAGAGAAGCCTCAGATTCTCCTGCCAACACGTCTAAGGCATGGGATTCGTAAGGGAAAGGACTTGTCTGTGGAGGGAGGAGGGACACTCATGGGACCTTTCAGATCAGGCCTCCTCCAAGAACCACTGGCCCTTTGGCTCATGGGAAGGAACCTCAGTAATGAACAGGACCTGCCCTTTGTAGATGCTGGGAAGGAGCACCTACCAGACCTACCCCTAGGGTATCATCCCATATTTGCCAATAATAGTATGATACTCCACATGAGCAGAGACCTTCTTAAAATGTTTACAGGCTTCCTAGACTGCCTTTTGCAGACAGGCCCCAAACCCTTCCAATCTTTTAATGTAGCTATGACTGCGGGGCGGGGGGGGGGGTCATTTTTCAAGATGACACAAGTGAGAGAGAGAACACACAGAAGCCGGTTTCGTTCACCCACATTATTTTTGAGGTCAGCGCGGGAGCCACCCAGCAGGAGGACGCGTGTGCTCTGGGAGTGGCTGTTCTGGCAGGCCAGGTGCAGAGCCGTGTTCCCCGCCTTGGAGAGAGGCAGAGAAAAGGGGGTACACATTAGCAACACTGGGGCACAGACCTGCACACCTTGCAGAGGGGTAATACTCGGGGGTAAAAGTATTGATGCTGGCATTCTCTGCCTCCTGACGGGGGTCCCAGTGAGGGTCTTTCAGGGGCAAGAACATTTAACATGGAATCCAAATAGGCAGACAAGTCAGGAAACCTGGGCCTGCCATTTCCTAGCTGAAAGCCACTGGGTAAGGCTCTAGAAATGCTTGGCCTGGGAAAGGGAGCAAGATTCTTCCTCCCGAGGCTGTGGGGATGGACAAAGAATACCCAGGAAGGAACTGTCGGGACAACAAAATGCTGCATGTGTGCCAGGTGTCACCCTCTCAGAGAGGACTTCCTGCCCAACGTGGGCGTTAGCTGTGGGCACAGCACTCTACCAATGGTGAGGGAAAGAGGCCAAACCACTTCCTGGAAGTACAGATTCATGGTAATTAAGATGTCACTTATAGGGCTTTATCAAATCACCTGTTCTTATATTTTTCTTGAAACATAAAAATTTGAACTAAGAACAAGCCGTCCCACATAACAGACAACACCGCTGCACCTGTCACTCACCATACAGGCAGAGACCCTGCTGCTTTTGGACTCTACCTCCAACATATCACATCACAATGACAACCAAGGGTCAGAGTAATGTCCACAGCAATCTTGCAGAAAGAACTGCATGATGTGAACAAAACATTCTGATTCTATGGAATAGTGTCTTGGAGGGCTGCTGGTAACCCCTGGGAAAGCAACAAGATCAGAAATAAGGAAAGCAGAAGCAGCACAATAGGAGCAGTGTCGTGCCTGTGGCATGCAGGGGGTTAAGTACATGGGCTGAGGACTGCAGTCATGTGGGTGCTTGGCTGTTGCTGGCTGTTACTGCCTGTTGTCTGCTGTTTCCTCACCTATCCCTCCCCTCTGGGCTCACAGCACTGCCTGGTGAAACTCCAGGATGTGAGATTCCTGACCACTGAAAAAAGGAATGAGCAAATCAATAGAGGAAAACTATGCCAGTGTTCACTTAATCCCCTCATAACCTAGGCACTAACCAACCTGTAGAGCTTTTTCTGTTACCTCCAGAAACATGAAGGATCATAAACCTGAGAGTTTGGGGACCGCTGGTTCTCAAACCCTGGCTGCACACTGGAATCAATGGGAGAGCTTTTAGGAAACACCTGTGTTAGAAGGCACAGTGTGCATGCCTGTAATCCCAGGTACTGGAGGCTGAAGCAAGGAACACAAATTCAAGGCCAGCCTGAGTAACTTAGTGAGACTGTCTCAAAAATAATGGCCGAGATGTAATTTACTCAGTTGTAAAGTGCCCTCGAGTTAAAAAACACCCAAACACAGCTTCAACCTTCTGGGGACTCTAATTTACTTGGCTGGGGAAGTGGGGACATGGGACACACCTGGACTGTCCCAGTTCTGGCATGAAAAGTCCCACATTCTGGGAAATATCAATTCTAGGCAAATGGGGATAGTTGTTCTCATCAGGCCTGGTTTGTTTTTTGTTGAAAATTCCCTAGGAAAACCTAATGTGCAACCAGGTAGAGAACTGCTGCTAACTTAGTTCAACATTAAAGGATCTGCCCACATTTTAAATACTCCCACGTTGTCTCCAAATTGTGGGCCTCATGACAGACTTAAATACATGTTGAATAAAGTAGTGAAGTAAAAGAAATCCAATGGTTCTTAGAAATGCATCATACCAAAGCTTATTTTGCCAATAAGAAAATATCCGTTACGTGGAAAAAATTTTGGATCAAGAAAATTAAACAGTGTAGGTTTGTATAAGTGATTTGTGGTACATCCATACAGTGGAGTACTACTGAGCAATCAAAAGGACTGGAGAGTCATGCAGGTAACATGCAGGAATCTCAAAACATTATATTAAATGACAGAAGTCAGACAGAAGGCTGCATGCTTCAATATCCACTTATATGACATTTTCAAAAAGGCAAAACAGGCCTATGGTTGCCAGAATTTGGGAGCAGGGGTTGGGGGTTGCCAAGAAGTAGAAAGGAACTTTGTTGGGGGGATGATGGGAACATTCTACATCTTAAACTGCATGCATTTGTCGAAACTCAGAACACGATCTCATATCTAAAAAAAGTGAACCTTATGTCTATAAATTCTAGCTCAAAATCTGAAACTTTAAAAATGGGCCTATAGAAGGCATGTGTAGTAGACATTTTCTGTCACTCTGAGTAAGGAATATCGGCTTCCCAGACAGGGGCTTCTGTATTTGCTGAATAATAAGGATCTTTCTAGAAGCTTCCCCAGAGATTGACGGCTGCAGATTATAAAAATTTCTCTCTGGGATAGCATGAGTTATCCTAGAGGTGCTTCCGAAGCCTCTGCCACGTATCTTGAGAACTTGTGGCTTTCCACTGTATTTTTTTGGGAGGCAGTGTGTTGGAGCAGACAGACCTGGGCTGGATTATGGCCCTAAATATGTTTTAATGGAGGACTCCCTTGACTTCCAACCTAAGCTCACTCAAACAAGGACCACTACTTCTCAAAGTTGTTATAAAAAGGAGATGTGAACACACACCAACTCATGTTCCAGACCATGCACAACCCTGAAGAAATGGTGAGTCAAGCATTATTGATGATATTGCCATGCACAGCTGCTGTTGCCCCTCAAGCTGTTGGCCCATGAAGGATTCATGAAAAATATCTAACTAGAAAAGAGCTGCACAACACTGTGTACAGTGAGTGCCAAGGGAGAACCACAGGAGACAGCATGGTGGGCCTTCAAGGGGAGAGGTCTAAGGGCCTGGATTGGCATCTGTGGGCACAGATGAGGGGTGGTCCACTACCAAGGGTCAGGCAATGGAAAGAGCAAGCCCACTGTGAGCACAGGAGATGCATCTGGGAAAACCTCAGGAGGGGAGCCGGCTGGAAGGCTTCACTGGGAGGTTTCTGAGGAAGAGCTAGATACAGAAGACACAGCCCTGAGCTAGTCGATTTGTTTTGAGGCTTCTGAAATAAATTAGGAACACTTAATAAATGTGAAGAGAGAGGGACAGAATAGACAAAGAAAACAGCCTAAGACTGGATGAGTAACCAGAGAGGGGAGATGAGCACCATGACTCAGTCCCTGTCTCCACGAGGACAGGAATGGCTTGCTTCACCACACTGGAATAAACCAAGAGAAAAGCAGTGATAGCCAGAGATTTCAAAGGAGGTCCAAGCCACCATGGCAGGTTCTTACACTCCCTGCATGGGTTATGGTCTCTGAAGCCTTCTGGTTTTCTATTTCCTCAGCAGGCGAAACCCAGAGAAGTCATTAGAGTATATCTCCGACAGGTTGGCTAACATTAGACCTTTTGTCTGACGTTGCTTTTGAAGATCTTGCATGGAGATGTGTACAAAGGGGTTTTAGGCTATAGATACCAGGTCTCAGATCCTATTTGCCATGTGTTTGTACATTTACTGTTTTAGGGAGACTGCAAGCTGCTGCCCATAATCACCATGCTGCTGTCACCTGGTCTAGCACACCAGATTCATTATTCCACTACTACCAGGTAAAGCCACCACCCCATGATGTTGACTGTACAGCTGCATTATGGGTAATGCTCCAGCCCTTCGAATCCTTGTCACACACCCAGCCCAACTCTCCAAGGACAGAAAAGAGGGCAAGCCCTTTTACAAGTCCTCCTCGCCACACTGCAAATATCCGAAGAGGCCCGACAATGCTTTTTATTTTTAAAATAAAATATGCCTTTTCTCTCAAGGAATAGTCAGTGCATTTTGGAAATCTTGGGAAAGGTGCAAACAAAAACAAATATAGAAATTCTCCATTCCCATGGGTAAAACTGTTAATAATTTGGTGATACCCTTTAAGACAGTTTTTTAATATAAATTTATGTTAAGCATTGAGATAAGCAAATATGATTTCATACCCATTATGTTCTTCTATAACTCAAGACCATTACTTTCAAAACTGATTTTAATTATATTAAATGTGTTCACTATATGAGTGAATAGTGATTTTTAAATCCTGGGCCCCACATTTTTTACATTACAATTATTGCTGTCAAACATCCTTAAGGGTAAATTTTTACCAACCATATTTTATTGATTTTGAAAATGGAATCCTAGGGAGGCAGTTACTCGGTAAAAAGGCAGAACCACTTTTAAAACTCTTGATTTTTGCCAGTTTGCCTCTTAAAGGTGGCTGTTCCCTAGTAGTACCTGAGTGAACCCCCCTTACCAGCCCACTTCTCCACATTCTTGCTACTATTGGGTATTGGCATTTCACAGTTCCATGCTAACATTTTTAATGTCAACTGAGGGTTGTCCTTTTACAGTAGTGTCAGTGCTGGGGACAGTGACCTGATGCAGGTTCCCAGCAGCACTAGGGAGTCTCACATCAGCAGCATTTCAGCGCTGATGGGGAACTTGCTCCTGACCAGGAATATCTATCTGCTTTCACCCTTCTCTGCAAATGGAACTGCAGATTCTCTGTACACCTCTGAGCTCTCACTCTACTGAGAGGAGACTCCTACAAGGAGGGAAACCCACAGCCATCCTCACCTGTGAATGAGGAGTCCTAGCACCTGCTGGGCCTCACCTTGTTCCTGGCAAGCACATTGGCTCCTGCTTTAACGAGCAGCTTGGCTGACTGGCTGAAACCATGCCAGGATGCTTCATGCAGGGCTGTATTCCCATCCTAAGGGAAACACAGGGGAAACGGCACCATTACCCAAGACCTAATGGTTCTCATTATCATCAATATATCACAGTAGATTGTCACAGTACACCACAGGTTTTCTTCAACTAGGATCCCTCATCTGAGCCACACAACAAAGAAAATGATCCGAATGGCCAGTCTCCATTCTCCTAGAATAGTTAGCTGAGATACAACACTTGTTTAGCATGTATGAAGTTTGATCCCAGCACAGGGAGGTAACAAAAAAAAAAAAAAGCATAAAAGCCATCTAATGTATAAATAAAAATGAATTTGTGATGTACACAGACACTTTAGGCATTAGGATTAAGCCTCTCTGGTAATCTTACGTTGAGAAAGGCTCCAGGGCCCATCCATAGCTCCTGAGAGAAAACAATCCTGTCAGGATGGCTCACTGCCCATTCCTAGCCCAGCCCCCCACTGCTCCTGACACCACAGGGAATTCTGCAAAAACAGAAAAGGAGAGTTCAGTTTCACAAGTTCCAGGGGCCTGATAGGTTAACCCCCTACACACACACTTTTTCACCAAAATGTAATGCCATCTAGTTTATTCTGAAAGCCTCAGGGGCCTAAACAAATGAGCAGACACCAAGGAAACAGTGAGTGATTGGCATGTTCCCCTCACCTTGTCTTGTCTGTCCAGGGCACATCCCTCCTGGATGAGTGCTGCGATGATCTCGGTGTTCCCCACCACCGTGGCCCGGTGTAAGGCAGTCTGGTCCCCCTGCAGAGTGACATGGAGGCAGGAACAGCAGTCAGCTTGCCTAGCACCACTCACTCTTCCACTCAGACACCTCCCGCCCCCACACGGAGCAGGCTGGCTACTTGTAGAAGGGCTCATCACCACAGGCAAGGAGAGCTTTGAGGTCCTGTTAGTAGACAATGCACACTGGCAGAGCAAATTTGTCCATAAACTCAAGGAGACCATAAGCCAATAGCAACCCTCGGCCCCAGATCAACTTCAGAATGAGGCCCTCTCCTGCCATCCCAAGGGATGTCACGTGTGAGGGAGCTGGGCTGTGTATGGTGTGCTGTGCCATTAAACCAAACACACCCAGTCTTCACCCCCACCAATACCCTTGGTATATAATAGGACTGTCCACGTCTCAATGTCATCCCACAGTTTATCTGTATAATTTAAGGGATGTCCAGAGTGATGGGGTCAGGATGCCTGGCTTACAGAGCAATCGGTTCTGGTTAGGTCAGTTAGTAGCACTGCATCCTCATTGATTTATGCTGCATTCTGATCCTTCTCTGCCATCAGATTCCTGGGATTGACAACCGGTTTTCTCCTGCAGGCGCCGAAGGGAACTTGACTCTTCCCCAGTGGCAGTGGAGAGAAAGATGAAACACACCCAGAGGTAAGAAGATCAAGACTGTAACATGACAGTTCTGAGTCTCTAAGAGTACATCTTATTGATGACACATACTCAAGTCAGGGCAAATCAAGTGAAGCCTGTAGTCTAGACTTGATCTCGAAAGATGAGATGGGTGAACAGCAGGAAGATTTCCTGGTAAAAAGGAACATCAGGCACAGGGCAATGGGACTGTGAGACCCAGGTAGTGTATGTCCTTGCAAGACCTGTCACTTCACTAGATCTCTACTTGCTAAAGGTGAGGCCTGATGATCCCCAAGGTCCTTCTCCTCCTTTTATGGATTCTATGATATGGTACACTCCCAGGACATCCCTAGACCTTAGCCCAAGAAAGGCATGAAAGATTGTTATGAAACAGATAACAACTGGGTGCAGTCACGCTTATAATCTTCAGCATGCTGAAGCAGGAGGACCACAAGTATGGGGCCAGCCTCTGCAACTCAGTGAAACCCTGTCTCAAAAGAGGGCTGGGGATATAGCTTGGATTCTCAGTTCCCCCCAAAAGATGAGAGATTTCTCAAAAGAATGCACAACTATAAATAGCCTTAATGAAATACCAATTCAATTTACTAAACTCCCTAGATTTACACACATTAAGATTATTTAATCCAAAAAAGTTCTGAAGATGCACAAAATTGTGAATGTATGTAATGCCACTTAATACCTCTGCCATTTAAATAGTTATGACTGGAAATTTTGTTATATGATTTTATCGTGATTTAAAAAAATCCTACTCGGTAGTCAAAATTTGCTTTCTTAAAATTAAAGTCTCCTTTTAAAAATCCCCAAGGGGAAGTAATTCTTATTTTCTTTCTTACAGTTTTTAATATTTTCCAACTTCTTAACACCTATAACTTTGAACAGCAGGGAAAACCACTACAATTAAGTTTAAGCAATAACAATATACCGAGAATAGAACTGTCCATGTCTCCGATTTTTTAAGTTTTTAGATGGACACAATATCTTTTGTTTATTTTTATGTGGTGCTGAGGATCGAACCCAGTGCCTCACACATGTGAGGCAAGCGATTTGCCACTGAGCTACAATCCCAGCCCTCCGAATTTCATCCTACAGTTTATCTGTAGACTTAAGGGATGTCCCAAGGGATGGAGTCAGGACATCTAGTGGCATTACCATGACTGCATCCACTGCCCTCAGCACTAACGTCAATGACCCTCCGCTTGGCTTCCTAAGCTAATATTCCACTATAAATTAGGTTTAGACTGGTTTTCTTGTCCACTTTTCCAGTCCACTTTTTCAAACAGAACTATATACCAATGTGGTTAAAAGGAGAATGTGGCCACGGGATCAGTAATGGCAAGATCAGTAGTGGCAAGAGGTGTGACATTATAGTGTCCATTTCCTACACCTTAGGAAGCACTTCTGGAGGAAGAAAACTTGATGCCCAACAACTCATCATAGGAGCTACTGTCCAAGTCTTAACTTTTAAAAATTCCATAAGATGCAGGGCACAGTGGCTCACTCCTATAATCCCAGAGGCTCGAGAGGCCGAGGCAGGAGGATCATGAGTTCAAAGCCAGCCTCAGCAAAATCGAGGCGCTAAGCAATTCTGTGAGACCCTGTCTCTAAATAAAATACAAAAAAAAGGGCTGGGGATGTGGCTCAGTGGTAGAGTGCCCCCGAGTTCAATCCCCGGTACCAAAAAAAAAAAAAATTCGTAAGAATTTCTAAGACTTTCCATTTTCCTATCAGAACAGATGAATTTTCCCAAAATTAGGCTCAGGTGTGACTTATTAGTATTGACCTATTGAGGAGAAAGATGGTGCTCTGTCCTCAGTAAGACTATGAGATAGCAGCCCACTCTTTCAGGGTAGGGTAGTTTAGCTTGGTCAGCTTTCCAAATTTCTAGAGGCCTTTTAATACCATGACAACTACACTCTACCTAGCCAAGGATACTACCCTGGGGGGGAAAAAAAAAGTTCTTTACAAAATAAAACTTACTGTTCTGTTCGTGCCATGCATAAAGCGTGAGCAACAAGCCCTGAACACACAACTTGTGTCAGTCACTCTTGCGTGCAAATGATCACAAGAAGAGCCTTCACTGGTCAGGGCGCCATGTGACCTAGGTCATGGTCCAGGTTGAATGTTTCATCACATCTCATACCTGCTCACTAAATCATGAGCTGAGGCAGCTTTGGAGCCAGAGTAGAACCATTTATTACTGGCCTTCATCGTTGGCCAATTGTATTTGCTTCTCTCAGGACAACTTTCCTTTGTGAATCTCTCACTCAGTGCTAGCAGCTAAATCTAACTTTTTTTGTAGTCCTTTGGAGTAAATCTTCAGATGAATCAAGGCCCGAAGAGATCTAACTACTGAACACGAATTGATGCAACTGGCTGGCACAGGTGGCTCCTGCCTGTCCCTTTCCCTGAAAGACTTTTCAGCTATACTCACTACCTGTCTAAAGGCAACAAGCCCCCCAAACCCCGAAGCTTTCCTCCTCCCCAACAGAGACCCACTCAGAGCCTGGATCCCTGTTTCCGTGGTCAGATAAACACTGCTGTACAGGCACAGCCCTCTCCCCAGCATCTGTCCTTGGCTGGACAATTGGTTTTGCTTACACCATCTGGAATGGTCCAGGAGGGCTGAGCAATATACTTTCTCCAGCTTTTAACAGCGGCCACTCTGAAGTTAGCAAGACGAAAAAGGCTCCGAGACAAGACACATGAACAAAGTGCTGCCTGGGGTTGTCACTTGAAAAAACTCTCCCCCAGAACACAACAAAATTTAACACTCTGAAACCCTCAGTTGAAAGAAAATATCAGTTACCTGTGAACTGATTCTTGGCTCCTACAAAATTAAAATTTACTGTTGAAACTTTTGTTCTTTTAAACATGACACAGAAAAAGACGTGGCCTACATACTGATGAATCCAAGGAAATTTTTTTTTGCACCAGGGATTGAATCCAGGGGCAATCACTAAGCCATATCCCCAGTTCTTTTTTATTCATTTTTTATTTTGAGACAGGTCTTGCCAAGTTGATTAGGTCCTTGCAATGTTGCTGAGGCTGGCTTTGAACTTGCAATTTTCCTGCCTCAGCCTCCCAAGCCACTGGAGTTACACCACTCCTAGCTGGACTGAAGCAACTCTGACATAATCCTTATTTCTATCCAATCTAGATCAATCACAAAATTCTGAAACTGAAACCAAAATGCTGGGGAAATATAGCTTTCCCCAAATCATGTAGACAGTATTTGATTCCTACTATATATCAAGTAGATGGCATCTAATTCTCTCATACTCTGAGAAGTCTCACCTAGGTTAACTAGCTAATTCAAGATAGCATGGTTAGACTAGAATTCAAATGGTCAAGGCTCTTTGCATTTATCCCAGGGGCTTCCAACCTGTGAAGCTAATTAACCTTAGGCTGAATCTCAAAAAAAGACCAGGTACCTCTGTGAGGTTGGGACTGCCTTGTTGTGTAAGCTAAGTACTCAGCGTGGCATCCTGGCCACTGTGGGCACCCAAGATGCATCTCTTGAATGATTAACTGCAGAGAAGTAAAGGGAAGATGCTGCAGCCAGAAACTTGAAGAGCCAGCAACCTCACAGTTTGGCACTTTGGGGCAGAACACACTGACCCATTTGCCAAAGAACAAACCACCAGCCCCCAATTTTTTTTGAGACATCAATGCTTCTCACTTTAGGGGCTCCGAAGCTCTCAGGTCTCAATCTTTGTTTTGAAATACTTTATTTTTCTCTCCTATGTGGTGAAAACCAGTTAGTATTCCAAAGCGAAACTCACGGAGGAAACACCAGTCATGCAAGGGTGGAATGTGCCCCTCTTCAGGAGGAAGCCCCAGGTGGAAAGAGCAGACATGCTGCAAGGAAGCTCAAAGCCAGGTAGGTGTGTAAAGCAAGCCTCTGACCTCTTTCTCTCTCTCTGATCTTCTAGGGTTCTTCCTAGCCTTTCTTCTCAGGTTTTTCTTATTTTTTTCTTCCTTCATGTCTTTTACTGTGGCCATAGGGTCCTGGACTATTTCTGAGGTAGGGATGGTGTGATTACTCATTGACCAATCAGAGATGGCGTTAGAACTCCGCTGAGGGTTGACAGCATTGTTGGGAAAGATGAGCGAATTTGCTTCTGGTGTTGCATATTCTAAAGAACTGTTTTCCACAGGTTGAAATTCATAATAATCCCACTCCAGGCCACTGGAGGTCATTCTTCAACTAATTCTCAGTCCTTACTATGCCATAAAGATCAGTATCTGTAGAATATGAGGTAAGGAGTAAACATTTCTATAGGTAACTTCTGAAGTGATTTACTCCAGTAATTAATCTCCCCAGCTTCTTTAAACAAGAAATTTCTTCTTCAAATTCTTGCTTAGATTTCAAGGCTGATCGATCATCACCACACATGGTGACATGGTATATACACAGCAGACAGTCACGGATTATACAGTGACCAGAAAATGCAGGACTTTCAGACCTGTGAAGGTCAATTCTGCCTTCTCCACACCCATCTGTGTTTTTTTCCCACATTACTATTCTTGTGTTATGTTTTGAGTTATATGGGAGAAACAAAGTGTGCTTTATCTGTCTAGGAAAGGGAAAAGATGTGAGAAAATAATTCCAATAAATAAAAAGAGGATGTTCCTGTCTCAAAGCAGAGCTGGCTTTCTGCTGACTTGTCTCACCTTGGCTACTTTGTAAGAACTCCTGCCTGTTTTACCTCCTACCTTGCCCGATAGAAACAGCAGCAGTTCTAGGAAATTAGCATGTCTTTTGTTGCATGAGGACACAGTGTTCCTCAGAGGGGTGTCCTGTGGGCATGGGTTAGCATACCTGGCATCGTGGCCTTGACACCGTGGTGAGCAAGGGCTTTAATTAAGCAAAAAGACTAGATGATCCCAACATGTTTATACCAGCAATTCAAGGCCCCACGTGGGTTTTATGTGGTCAGCATCTCCTCCCTGTCCCTGTATTTTCCTCCTGTCATCTAAGGAGATGATATGAGTCAGGAATGTTATGTTGGTTACAATGTTTAAAAATAAAGTACTGTGTCTCCAGGTAAAAATCAACAACTTAAAGCTAAATTGGCATTTTCTGAAAGCAACATTCTTGATGATCCAAGTCTCCAGATGTAACTGGAAATTTATGACACACACAAGATGTCCTGCTGCTCATGCATAAAACAATGCCATATTCAGTTATTTCTTTGCAAACAGTGTCCTTCTCATTTGGAAACACATTTGCCAAGTTTTAGGACACTGCACAGAGACTAAGGAAAACATGAATCACTTTAGTAAACCCTAGCACATACCTTGCATAGCTGAGGGCCTCAAATTTGAATAACACCTTCTTGCCAGTTATTTAAGGTAATTCCAGAAGAGGTTACGATAAGGGAAAACTCTTTAAGATTCTCTGTTGCTCACAAATTTCTTATTTCTTGGAGTTCTGCCACATGAATTAAGAATTGAAACAATTTCTAAAAATAGTTTGATTACATATCATAGACCCCCTTTTCTGATAACTCATTGGAGAATCATTTAGACAATTCTTTCTTAGAGAATTCACCTTCTGCAAAGACCGAACAGGACAACCCTATGTGCTATGTAATCCCATCCCACCCTCTGTTCATGGGCTTCTCTGGGGTCACCTGTCAATTCCTGAGCCAATCTGAGTCCTTTTCTCAATCATTTGGATGGAAGACTCAGATGTGGTCATGTTTCAAAAATAGCAGAGTGCCAGAGTAAACTCTTACTAGAAGCCTTTTCTTGGATTCCATGAGATCTGTGTCATTTTCCCCCCTTAAATAGGTCCTTGCCAACTAAATATATATATCAGCTAAGAGAAATCAAAGTGAGAAAAAGAAGTTTTTAGGCCCTACCTTTTCTCCAGTGGTAGATTTGTGGTCAGTGATACACACCTCCAGCAGGCCTTGCCTGCAATCACTGGAGTGTGAATGCTGCTTTGTGTGAGGGCAGGACACAGGCAAAAGGCCTTCAAGGCTCTGCATTTGAAAGCTAATAGAAAATGAACCGTCCCACACTCCCAACCTCTAACTTCCTACTGAGAATGGATCTCAGAACCAAGTGCTTCTGAGGAAGTTCTTGCCACAACAGGACTGAGATGGAGCTGAAAGTGTTGGGAGAGCATCTTCTTCCCTCTCACCTCATAGCTGCCCACATTTGTACTGTGAACTTCTTGGCAAAAGTTGTGATTTGGATCTGGAATCTAGGTCCCCAAAGTCTCATGTGTTGAAGGCTTTGTCCCCAGTACAGCAAAGTTCAGAGGAGGGGTTTGGCGTGAAGTAATTGGACCATGAGGGCTTTAACCTCATCAGTGGATTCATCCATTGATGAATTAGTAATTTGATGGTATTATTGGGAGGCTGCAGAAACTATAGAAGAAGGGGCTTCATTGAAGAAGGTGGGTCACTGGGTGTGTGCCTTAGAAGGCCATATCTTCTCCCTGGCCCCTTCCTTGATCCCAGCTGACATAACCTGAGATTTTCCCTTCCACAAAGATGCTCTGCCTCACCTCAGGCCCAAAACAATGGATCTGGTCAATTGTGGACTCTGAAACCATGAGCCAAAAAATAAATCTTTCCTCCCTTAGGTTGTTTTTCTAAGTATTTTATCATAGCAACAAAAAGCTAACACAGCAGATAAGCTCCCCTGCTAACCCATTCCATAGAATGATGGCTTCTACTCACATCATCCTGGACATCAAGGTCACAGCCAGCCTTCAGCAAAATCTGGACCACAGAAAGATGGCCCTTATTGGCAGCAAGATGCAGGGGGGTCCGGCCATGCTGTTAACACAAAGCAAACACCAATTTTAGAACAAGATAGCAAAACTGCTCTCTTCAGGGTAGGGACAGGGGAAATTTTTTTGCCCCTTTGATTTGGCAGAAAATTATTTATTTACCCAGATCTCAAGTTGTCTCGGTTAACTCTGGCTATTGGCATCATAGTCAATTATCAATACATGATAATTTCATTTAGTGTATAATTTCTACTTCCCACCTGTAAGCAGTAAAATGAGAAAGAGTCTCATATATTCTCATTTTCCTACTTAATATTATGGGATGATGAAGTGGCAATGATCAATTAGACCAGGGCCAGAGGTGAGAAACAGGAACTGCCAAGCTAGTTAGCCCTAGGAAAATCCAGTAACTCCTTAAAACAAAAACGGAACAAACTGATCAGGAAAGACTCTTCCTCCCTTTAAAAACAGATTGTAAAATGTTTCAGCCATCCAAAAATAAAGTATTTTAAAATCCAGATAGCCCCAACCATTTCAAAAAGCATCAGTAAAACTACTCATGCTCCTTGTGGATGCCTCACAAATCTGATCTCCCCTCTAATTTGGTATTCACACCCCTCTGCCTTTATGTTTTCACTGTTTATAGCCAAAGACAACACAAACAGATCTACTTATTTCAAAATCTTATGTCCACGGTAGTAAACTTTACAATGTGGCTCAGGATTTTTTTTGTCTAACATTACATTTTTGAAACTTTTTTTGTATGGTCACCTGTAGCTCCAGTTCAGTTCCGTTGTACTGATGAGCACCCACCTAGTTGTTTCCTTGGGTTTGCAGAACATATTTGTGAGCTCAGCTCTCAGGCACTTCTCAGCCCTACAGATGCATCATGAAGACCATTCCCTCAACTACTCTAAGCACCTGGGCTCCTGGCTACCACTCTCAGTGGGAACACCCAGAATAAGTAACACTTTGCATTGTAAATTAATTTCTGTCCAGAGAACTGATCCTGTCACACTCCTACTTCTCCAAGTTCTAAAGGAGGCATTATGCCCCCTTAACTCTCCCTCAGGATTCACTGTGAAGGAAAGGTCAAACATCAATGAGCCATGGCCCCAGCCGTGCTGAAACACACCTGTGAGGAATATGGGTCTCCCTCGGTCTCTGTCCTGCTTAGCATCTTGATAAAGACCCAAAGGCCTTTATTGATATTCGAGCAGGATAAACCTATTTATGGTCTCAATAAAACACCAGTTTGCAATGGGTAACTAGCCATTGGAGGAAAACAGATAACAGACAATAAAGGATCTTCATTTCTAGCCATGAAATGCAATCAAAGCACGAGAATGAGACTGGAAAGAAAGAGGTCAGAGCTCGCTTTAAAATTAGAATGCTTAATTAAGAACAAAGTTATTCTCAAAAAAAAAAGTGGTCTATAAAAAGCTTTCATAAAAAAGGCAACATCTGAGATGAAAGAATGACCTTTCTTTGCCAGTGACTGTGCTCAGCCATGAGCCACTTAACCTTAACTCATTAAGTGAAATGTCCATAGCTGATCAGATGGAGCAAAATGACCAGGTCTTCATTCACTGGGCCTGGTCTCAGACTCCATCTGTCGTCACATATCTTCACACCTTGATACTGAGTGAATGACCTTCAGTAAGTTTCCTAAGGGGTTCTGAAACAGGAGAGTTCACCACAGGCGTAAGCAGAGATACATGTGTGTGTTGTGAGGAAGGCATAGCATGATAGGACACAGGCACCTCTGAGCAGCCAGAAAACAGACCATAATGGGAAGAGGTTGTGTGGAGGGAAGCTGGAATGGGGGCAGGGACAGAGGATCACTGGATGTTGTGGTCAGGGGAGCTCTGAGGAACACATTCATCAGTAACCACATGTCACTGCTAGGGAAGGAGAAACTCGAGGAAGATGAAAGATCTGAGTGAACATAAAGAATCACAAGCCAGGAGAAGGAAACACTGCTGTAGCTCTGCTGTGGACTAAATGTTTAGTAAATCCAGATACTGAAGCCCCAGTCACAAAGTGATGGTATTTGAAGATAGCGCCTTTGGAAGGTAATTAGGACATAGCAGTGAGCCCTCGTGATGTGATTAGTGACTTACAGAAAAAGAGCTGGCTGCCCCTCTTTCCACCACATGAAGATGCAAGAAGCAGCCTGCTGCCTGCAAACCAGAAAGCAAGGCTCTCACCTGGGTAATCTGGGTGCTGCCACCCTGATCTTGGACTTCCCAGTCTCCAGAAAGGTGAGCAACAAATGTCTGTTGTTGAAGCACCCAGTTGATCAAAGACAGGTTCAAACCAGATGGCATTTGAGAGGGCACTTTAGAAACCATGAACAAGATGACCCTGGATGGAAGCATCTTCCTAATGCAAAGTCAACAACAACAACAACAAAAAAAACCCCTCCCTGTGGAGAAAGGAAAGGCCAGAGACATTAGAACTGGATAGGCCTGATATAAATCCCAGTTCTGACTAATAGCACCTGTCTGGCTTTGTGCATGGCAATTTCCTAAGCCTGCTTTCTAACCTGTCAAACAGAAAAAGCCTCCACTGTGGACCCTGCAGGTTTGGGATAAGAATATGAGCCAACACCCATCTTCTCAGTTTCCCTTGCTTCCACTATCCTCAGCCTCCAAGCGGGAGGACACCCACACACCCTGCCCTTAGGAAAGACCAGTGAGGCATTTCCACTGTAACAGATCTGGGTGAAGACTTGGGTCTCGGGTCACTCAGGCAGTCAGAAAGGCTCTGACTGGAGGGTCGTGGTTACCACCGGCCTGTCCTTGACTCGCTCTCGATTTTTAAAATATAGGCTGAGGTTCCCATTCTTTGCATCTCTGCCTTACCATCAGGGCCTTTACTGTGTCTAAACCATGCCACCTCCAATTCCCCAAGTGGCCATGTTCACAGTCTTGCCCTCTCCATGGCTGAAATGACACTGGGGCATATTTCAGTCCCAGGTTTGACTTCAGGGACATAGATGGGATGGTGGGCTGGTTACAAACTCCAGTTTTAGGATGTCTCAGACCCTCGGAGGAGACTTCGACACCTTGGAGGCTTCAGGAGCACGTTAGCAGTGACAAAGGGGCTTCTCTGAGGAGGTTCTGTGTTCCCTCACAGGCTTATGGACCTGGGAAGGGTGCAGCAGTAACAAAGGCAGAAACCGTTTTCCTGTGGAACATGAGTCTATCAGCCCCCGGATCCTGGGTTTTCTCAACACAAGACCAAATCCCTCAGACACACACCACCAACCAAAGGAAGAAAAAATGCAGAAATGGGCTTAGTTTTCCAGAACATTCTATAGCAAAAAGCCACAAAAACGGGGCCCTTCAGAGGAGCAACTGCTTATACCCAGTACACAGAGATACCCCGAACTGAGCCTGGCTTATGGGAAAAGCTGGAGCTCCTTCAGAGGGAGAAGGCAAACAAAAACTGATCCTTACAACACTTCATGAATGATTCAGACCAAAGGATGCAACTGTTGTTTCCACAACCCTAGGACTTTCTAGCTGAAGAAGAGGACACAGAAGAATGACTACTTACTATGAATGACAGAAGTTGTTTTTGAAATAATTTCCCCTGAGTTCCACCCCAATTATCCTCAAAGCCAGTTCAGCTCCACACACTGGTGGCCCAGGGAAACCAATACTGATGAAGGTCTGCTAGGAGCAGCAGGCACTGCCTTGAGAACTTCACATCTGCTAGCTCATTCAGTCCTTCCAACCCCATAAGGTGGATACTATTATTCAGCTTATTTTACAAATGGGGAAACTGAGGCATGGAGAGACTGTTGTTTATTCTATACCACATAGAAGGTAACTGGAGTATGTACTCACCTCTTAGACCAGCTGACCCCAGAACCCGTGCTCTTACCCCTACATGCTGCCCTGGTGGTGCTGAGGGGCCACCTAGAAGAGGGAGTTTTTTCTTGCTGTCAGGAAGCTCCCAGGTCCTTGGGTATTGTGTGTGAGCCCAGACACTAACCTCTGGTTTCTTAGAAATAGCCTGGTTTCCTGGTTCTAAGATCTCTGGAATGAGCAGTGGTCTTCTAGTTTTCCTTTACATTGAATCTCCTGGAGAGTTGGTCCATGTCATTACTGAGGCCGTGCCCCTCCTCCAGTCTGATTGTGGTGAGGCACTGGTGTCAGGTTTTTATACACCTGGTGACTTTAATGTGTGATGGGTTAAGAACATAGGATGAGATGAGGAGGGGCCCAGATAAGCCCTCCCCAGAGCAGCCCTCAGGTAAACCTGCTGGGCTGGGCCTGCCCAAGCAAGAGCCATTCCTCTTGTTACATTCTTCATGATGCGCTCATCCCCACCTGTCAATGCAAAACATCCCAAATACTGCACCATTAACAGCCCAGAGCTTGCCAGATCTTCAAAGATTATATATGCGATGTCATAAAATTACTAAGAGTTCGGAAAACAAAAATAATATCTAATTCCACAACCCAATTCAACTGTTATTTTTATCCAATTCTTTTCAGAGAATCTCTTTATTGATGCCTTTGTAGTTATTTCCACAAGGTACATAAAATTATCTTGCTTTGTGCAATAATATACCTTAATCCTGTGACTCTTAAACCACATTGAACTGCAGAACCTCCTACTAGAAGAGATTGCTGGGCTCCCTGTCCAGAGTCTGATTCGGCAAGTCTGGGATACAGCAGGAGAATTTGCATTTATAACAAGCTTGCATGCCACGAGAGGATATTTCTTGTCCCCACCATCCCTCCCTTTTACTTTCTCACCCCTCTCCCCTCCGCTTCCCACCCACCATGAGCTGAGCAGCTTTTCTCCATGTCTTTCCAAGATTCTCTGCCTCACCTCAGGCCCAAAGCACAGAAACCAGACGACCATGGACTACCTCTGAAATCGTAAGCCAAAATAAATATGTCCCCTGATAAGTTGTTGTCTCAGGTGTTTGTCATGGTGGCAAAAAACTAAAATAGGCAGAAATGGCTAGTCAGAGACCACATTAGGAGAGCTACTGACAAACCACTGGTTTTCAACTCTATTGCA